AGTGCCATTTCTGCAACAGAATTATCTTCACCTCCACTGTTACAACTCTTGTCCAAACCAATGTCTTCTCTTTCCTAGACCACTTAAAGAAATTGCTAAATCACCATCTGCCTCTCTTCTTGCCTCTCTATGACCTATTCTCTTTTCACACATCTCAGTAAGTAACCTCCCAGGTTCCCTTCTCATTCCACCCACCCCAAATTATGCAGTGACTTCCTGCTTCTCTTTGGATAGTATTTCAAGTCCTTCATATACGTAAGTCATGCTCTACATGACCCTGCCCACCATGTCATCACCAGTTCCTACAATGTTCTCCCTCCTGCATTCTTTGTGCTCTATCATTGTTGGCCTTTGCTCATTTCTTTAAAGTAATACTTGTGCCCACCTCAGTCCCTGGGCATGCACTGTCATCTACACTCTGAATCCCTCCTCAGCCCGTTACATCCTACTCAAGTACTATTCATCCTCCAAATCTCAGCCACACATCATCTCCCAGCGAAAGCTTTTGGACAACTGAAATGAATCAAGCTCCCTATTACACATCCTTAAAGTGCCCTTCAAAATACTCAACACTGTTTGTAATACCCTTGAGTTTTCTTTTCCTTTATGTTTACCTTCCCAACTAGACTTTAAGCTCCATAAGGATGGAATCTGTGCCCACTCATTCATCATAGTATCCCCAGCACCTTCACACATAATGCTTATTAAAGTGCACCTGCCAAACAATACTTTCAATCAATAGTTTTGTTATAGTTGATCAATAAATATTCCATGACTAAATTGAATGAGCAGACTACATGTGGGATTTTAAACAAGTCACTGTCACCATTTAAGATCATAATTGTCTCATCTTTAAAAATGAGTATTTTGAATTAAATACCTTCTAATGTCAAATGTGGGCTAAAATTCTCTGATAACACTCTCTTATTTTAGTGTCTGCTGTTAAAGGAGAAGCCAAGAAAGAAAAAGTCATGACCTTCCTTCCTGCAACAGGTAAAGGGGCACGTGTTCCAGCTCAGCTCATTCTGTCTTGGGCAAACTCCTTGGCTTTTCTCAGCCTCATTTTTTCTATCTGTAAGATGGATATTGCCTCTATAGCTCAAGCTCCAACTGTCATAGGAATAGTTTCTGGGAATTTCTCTTGCTTTATGGTTTGTGGCACACTTGGATCCTCATGATGTTATTAAATCCACAGAGATCATGACATTCTATTAGCCATGGAAGATTTCATAATGAGAGGTATTTTTTTAATATTTTCTTTTTGATATTTTTGATATTTTCTTTTTGATAGTATGAAATTGGCTATATAGCAAGACAGTGAATGCATCACAACATAGGAATACATAGGACGCAGGGGCCTGGGTGCTTTTCTAAACCTGTTGGTAAACAAGCAGGATAGCTGGGGGGAGGGAGGGCACAATTGCCCTTTTTTTTTTTTACGATTGCCCTTTATTTTTATTTTTATTTTTTTTTTTATAGAAAGTGTGTGTGGAGGAGAGAGAGAGAGAGAGAATCATAAGCAGGCTGCATGGCTAGCATGGAGCCCAACTCAGAGCCCAACACAGGGCTTGATCTCACAACCTCAAGATCATGACCTGAGCTGAAATCAAGAATCAGATGCTCAACTAACTGAGCCACCTAGGTGTCCCTAATTTTTATTTATTTTTAATTAGTACATTCATGTGGTTCAAAATGCAAAAGGTACATAAGTATATAAAGTTAAAATGGTCCCTGGCCAACCACTTCCTTTCCCCCAGAGGACACCAGTTGTACCAATTTCTTGTGTATGAGCAGAGTGATTTTCAATAAATATTTCCCTTATATGAGGCTTCAATTTTCTCCTCTTCAAATGGTAACTATTTCTGCTCCACAGGTAATCACACACAGGATGAAAGCTGATCAAAATAGTAAGCATGAAAAAGTATGAAAAGCAACAAACACCTTCTATCTTAAAGATACTACTTTGGTGGTCTTTTTATCCAAAAAGAGAACAATAGTTTTACGTTATCCATGTGGTAATTTATTTGAAAACTGCTCTACGTGGCATCTTGTTCTGAAATTTCTTCTTCAGGGGTGTTCAGTTCACACTTCTAATTATCATTATCAAAATCCACCCACAGGTTTGCAATTATAAAAAAAGGAGTGGTGGAAATAACATTTCCTTAGTAGAAGGAGTGGTGTTCAAGAACAGTTCTTGGTTAGGAAGATTACACAAGGCCCACCAAACTGACTTGACAGGTGCAGGAATCCTGCAAGTGTCATAGCCCAGAGCTCCCCTGGAGACTGGAGCTCCCAAGCCCACATGACCCCGATCCTTCACCTGTACAAAGGTTTCTCCTTCCTGGCTCCATCACAGGCCAGGTCGGTGTCTGCCACAAACATCACTGGGGCTACATCATGTAGATAGCTCAGAGCACCAGACAGGAAACCAGACTGTGTGCCAGCTTAGGGCCTACTTGATCATATGCGTCTGTCTCAGAGTTCCTACTACTGTGACATAACCCACCTCCTTCAGTAACCATGTATGGGGAAGGAGAAGCACAGATCCTACCTGCCTCTGATCCCCCAAGCTCCAGTATTTAATCAGGAAGCTTGATACCTGATGAAAGGTCAAACTGGCTTACACAGGTAACAGTTACCTGGATCCAAGTTCCTACAGGCTGTTTGAAAAGCAAGGAACACTCTAAACATCCATCCGCAGATGAATGGATAAAGAAAATGTGATACGTACATACAGTGAAATATCATTCGGCCTTAAAATGGAAGATAATCTTGCCATACACAGCACCATCTTGTTGGAGCTGGAGGGCATTAAGCTAGGTGGAACAGTGCAGTCAAGAAGGATGCATACTACATGATGCCTCTTCTAGGAGGGATGTAAAATAGTCAAATCCTTAGTAGCAGAGCTGAGAAAGGGTTGCCAGGGACTCAGTGGAAAGAAAACAGGACCACCAGCTAGATATGGGATGGAGGTACCTCACTTCACTTCCCTAGGCCTTAATACCCTCAACCTTCAAAAGGAATGCTGGACAGGATGGCTTTTAAGAATGTTATAAATTGGGACGCCAGGATGGCTCAGTGGTTGAGCGTCTGCCTTCAGCTCAGGTCCTGACCCCAGGATCTGGGATTGAGTCCCACATCAGGCTCCTTGTGGGGAGCCTGCTTCTCCCTCTGCCTATGTCTCTGCCTCTTTCTCTCTCTGTGTGTGTCTCTCATGAATAAGTAAATAAAATATTTAACAAAAAAAAGAATGTTATAAATTGTATAAGGCTGTGCTTCCATGATGCAATTTCATTCATTATAGTGTCTGTAAACAAAGACATCAAAAAGGAAAAAGAGGCTGCTGTCCTTGGTGTGACAGGTAAGTAGGCCAGCCCTGACTCTTAACTTGCCCTGGAACTCTGGAACACATTCTTCAGCCTGTCGCTGCCTTGGTTTTTCCACCTGTAAAATGGATATAAAAGCACCTGTTCCCCTGGAATGTAACAGGGAAGGTAATCATGGCAACAATAGTAGCAACAAATGCAGGATGATCCTACTGCCACCTAGTCCAAAGCAGCTGATCTTCCAGGTCACAGGAGGAGCTCACCACATCCCGAGTGCCCTGTCTGCCACTCCTCACGTAATGACACATGCATGTCCCTCCTCCCTCCTGAGGCACAGACAGTAAGCCCCATGGAGGTAGAGACTTGCCCCTTTCCCTGGACCTCTTTAGACCCAACACCCAGCATGATTGCTTGGCCCTCAGTGAGTGTCTGTTGAATGAATAAAGACTGAATGTGTGCTCTAGGCATTTCAAGATTTCCTGTGACATTTTCTTTGACTGCACAAACTCCAATGAGTGGGCAGGTGGCCTGATATTTTGGAAGGCCACTCTACAGCTCTTGGGAAGCAGGTTCTGGGCTCTACAGTTTAGGCAAGTTTCTTGCCCTCTCTGAGCCTCAGTTTCCTGATTGAGTAAGGGGGTGGGGTAGATTAGACACCCTGCCTGGGCATCACCTGCCTGCTTATTAAAATGGGGATTTCTAGGTCAAGATCAGCCCAAGGAGACTAGCGTATTCAGGGGAGGAGTCGCCTTTGCACGAGGCTGGTGATTCTGACCTTCACTGAGCTGGGGGCTGCTGCGTAGAGGCCCCCAAGGCTTCTCCAGTGACTTGAAGCTGGTGTTACAGGTTCCTATGTCTCCCTGAAGCCTTTTCTCTCCCCAGTGTCTGGCCTTGGAGGAGAAGAGAGGAAGGAAAAGGGGATGGCTTTTCTCGATACCACAGGTGAGTATTTTCCTTCCCACTGGGGCTCCGTGGGTGACACCCTTCTCAGGACCCCCACTCCAAGTCCCCACAGCACGGTGCATCATCTCCCCAGGCTTCAGACTGTGTGATCCACCACAATTATCTGAGCATTAAGTAAGCGTTGAAAAAGACTATGTTAGTAAAAATATAAAGAGGAGCATGAACCACTATTTTCACCTCGTCAGCTGCTGTTCTGAAGGTTCAAGGAAGAGCTAGGAGATGGGCGAATTTTAACCTAGCAGCTTCTCTCCACTTGGCTGCCCGCTACCAGTGTCCGGGAGAGTGACCCACTGGTCGATCGATTTCTGTGTGGTTGTCTGAGCCACATCCAAGACCGATTAAACCTGAATCTCTGATGATGGAGCCCAAGCAGCAGACTTGCAGAATTAAAAAAAAAGAAGAAAGAAAGAAAGAAAGAAAGAAAGAAAGAAAGAAGAAAGAGGAAGAAGAAGGAAGAAAGAAAAGAAAGGAAAAGAAAGAAGAAAGAAAGAAAAAAGCTTTTCCCCCAGAGATACCAGCACCCAGCTTAAGCATTGTCTGTTAGACAATGTAGTCCTTGCTAAATTCAGTGCTGCTGAGTGTGGTTTCCTGGGCCTTCCCACTGAATGTGGGCTTTTCCCGCCTGTCCCTACCGTCTCCAAATGCAGAGATAAATTATTCACAGACTAAGAGTTCCTGTCCTGCACGTGGACTTCTCCCATCTAGCTTGTCATGATGCATGCCACTGGCTGTCATCTCCTGAGCACGGGCACTGCCCCTTACCCTTGAATTCCTTGTGCCCCTTGTGCTGTGGTTGTGAGCTCAGTAAGTGTCCAAAGAGGAGGCACATCAGCCTGAATGTCAGAAAAGGGGAACTTCTGTGGCAAGAAAAGCCAGCCAGTGACATCAACCGCAAATCTCTTTCAGAGCTGCCTGCCAGGTCGGTCGATCTGTCCGCCCTGAATCTTACAGAGCTGGTGAATGGAATGCTGAGTAGAGCTTTAAAAGGTATCCTTTTCTTTAAAAAGGGGGCAGGGGGCACCTGGGTGGCTCAGTGGTTGAGCATCTGCCTTTGGCTCAGGTCGTGATCCCAGGGTCCTGAGATCCAGTCCTGCATTGGGCTCCCCACAGGGAGCCTGCTTCTCCCTCTGCCTGTATCTCTGCCTCTCTCTGTGTGTCTCTCATGAATAAATAAATAAAATCTTAAAAAAAAAAAAAAGCACCAACCATCCAGGCCCGCTTAGGCCTGTATGCACGTGACTTCTGGATGGTCTGCAAGATGGGCAAAACAGATCACACCTCGATGCCCCAGCATCTCCGCGTGCAGATGGAGAACTCAGTGTCCCACCTAACTCCTGAGGAGACTGAAAACATCCAAGTGAAGTAAGAGGCTTGCCAGCATTTTGAGAGCAAGCTGCATTCCAGACACAGCATATGTGCTGATATTTCTAATCACAATGACACTGAGAGAGAATTGTCAGGGCTTAGGGACGGATAAGGAAAACACAGCTAAGGGGCATGCACTTTTGCAATTTGGGGTTTGCTTTTATCTGATTTATTTTCAATGTTTGTTATATTATTGTTTATTTTTGCTATTTACTTTTATTACTTGTTCATTGCATTTTTAATTTATTTTTTTAAAAAAAGATTTTATGTATTTATTTGACACACAAAGAAAGAGAGAGAGAGCACAAGCAGGGGGAGTGGCAGAGGCAGATGGAGAGGGAGAGACAAACTCTCCACTGAACAGGGAATGTAGAACTCAATCCCAGTCTCATGACCTGAGCTAAAGGCAGATGCTTAACCAGCTGAGCCACCCAGGCACCCCTGTATTTTTCATTTCTATTATCTGTTGACTAATCGATAGTATTATTAATGTCAGTAGGCATTTGTCCGATGGCTTCTTTATCTCAATATCCTTGGCAGATACCAAGAAGTTCTTCTCCCTGCTAAGCATCACTTCCTACAGCTCCTTTGCCTTCTACAAGTTTTCTGTGGCCATTTACAACAGTAAGTGCTGCCTGGCTCTTCCTGTTGGCAAGGATGGGGAGCAAAGGGCTGGCAGGGCCAGGCTCTATGTCAAGACTGCCTTCTGTTTTTTTGTTGTTGTTGTTGTTGTTGTTTGTTCGTTTGTTTTATTGGAGTTAAATTTGCCAACATATAGCATAACACCTAGCGCTCATCCCACCAAGCGCCCCCCTCAGTGCCCATCACCCAGTCACCCCAACCCCCTGCCCACCTCCCCTTCCACTACCCCTTGTTCATTTCCCAGAGTTAGGTGTCTCTCATGTTTTGTCACCCTCACTGATATTTTCACTCATTTTCTCTCCTTTCCCTTTACTCCCTTTCACTAATTTTTATATTCCCCAATTGAATGAGACCATATAATGTTTGTCCTTCTCCGATTGACTTATTTCACTCAGCATAATACCCTCCAGGTCCCTCCACATCGAAGCAAATGGTGGGTATTTGTCATTTCTAATGGCTGAGTAATATTCCATTGTATACACAGACCACATCCTCTTTATCCATTCATCTTTCGATGGACACTGAGGCTCCTTCCACAGTTTGGCTACTGTAGACTTTGCTGCTAGAAACATCGGGGTGCAGGTGTCCCGGCGTTTCACTGCATCTGTATCTTTGGGGTAAATCCCCAACAGTGCAATTGCTGGGTCGTAGGGCAGGTCTATTTTTCACTCTTTGAGGAACCTCCACACAGTTTTCCAGAGTGGCTGCACCATTTCACATTCCCACCAACAGTGCAAGAGGGTTCCCCTTTCTCCACATCCTCTCCAACATTTGTGGTTTCTTGTCTTGTTAATTTTCCCCATTCTCACTGGTGTGAGGTGGTATCTCATTGTGGTTTTAATTTGTATTTCCCTGATGGCCAGTGATGCGGAGCATTTACTCATGTGCTTGTTGGCCATGTCTATGTCCTCCTCTGTGAGATTTCTGTTCATAAGATTGCCTTTGGATCGTGTCTCTTCACAGTTTCTAACCTGAAGACTGTGGACCCTGACAAATTCCCCACCCGGTACTGTTACTGTCTGAACAACCGGACCAATGACTTATCAGGTGGGTGGAGCTACCTGCCAGGCTTGCAGCTTTCCTGATTTTGCTTGTACCCTTCTGGATATGTTTGACTTAATTTTTTTCTCTTTAGAGTGAAATAAGAAAACACAGCGGTATCTATTATGCTTAGATATGTACCTATTGGCTGTCACAGAAAGTTCTTTGCTTGGTTTTTAGACTAGGAAAATAGTTAAGTCTGAACAAACGGGCAAAGACGATGTGTTCATGCAGCTTTTTTTAGCAGGAAACTCTGAGAACAACATAAATATCCATCATCAGGAAAATGGTTAAATAGTCTATACATTGGAAAACAGCCAGAGGCCATGCATTAATGAATGGGTGTGGCCAGATTTGCCCCAAATATGAAAACATTTTCATGGCATTTTTAAAAGATTTTATTTATTTATTCATAAAAGACACACAGAGAAAGGCAGAGACGCAGGCAGAGGGAGAAGCAGGCTCCATGCAGGAAGCCCAATATCGGACGCGATCCTGAGACTCCAGGATCACACCCTGGGCCGAAGGCAGGTGCCAAACCATTGAGCCACCCAGGGCTCCCCTCATGTCATTTTCAATTAGAAAAACAGACTTAGACAAAATAATGTGTAGAATACACTGTCGTTGATGAAGAGATACATATCTGGACACCGGATAGTTGTTTACCTCTGAAGAAGATCGTGATGCGTGTTTTGCAGTGTACAAAGGTGTCACCAGATGTTTCTTTCAAAGCTAGTATACTCATGTATTACTTTTATAGCTGAAAATTAAAATTATTTGATGTTCTTTCTAGTTAGAGAATCCTGAAAAGTAAAACTGAAAATTACTCTCTTACCACTAATTCACCCATTCAATGATACTTTATTGGGCACATACTATTAGCCAGACTCTCTTAGAGGTGTGGGGGTACCACGCTGGGCAAAGTGAACACACACACCCTGCTCTCATGAACTAGGGAGGGACAGAGAGTCAATGAATAAATAAAAAAATGCATTATGTGTAGCTAATAACATGACCATGAGAACAATAAAGCAAGGGAAAGGGTGAGGAGGGAAATGGTGGCGGGCATGGCTGTTATGTGTAGGGTGGCCAGGGAAGTCTTCCCTAATGAGGCAGGAAATGGAGAGGCAGCCCTGGGGTACCTGGGTACACAGTGTTCCAGGCAAAAGCCTGGGCAGCAGGGTAAGGACTAGAGAGGCCAGCATCGTTGGAGCAAGTGAGCCACAGCAGACGATCATGGGAAATGAGCTCAGAGTTGTAGGGGCAAAGTAGGGAGGGTGTTGAGAATCAAGTAGAAGTTTATAATCCACTCAAGGATTTTGATTTTTCACTCTGAATAAGAAGGAAGCCGGTGTTATTGTCCACACAGAGGAGGAGTTATATGATCTAAGTTATGTTTTAAAAGAATCTCTTTGGCTGTTCTTTTAAAAAAATAGATTGTAAGAGAAGTAAGGAGTAAAGGTGGAAAAGCCTCCTGGTCTTTTTTATCACTTGACCCAATCTTAAAATATTTTCCAGGATATTATAAACTCTGCAAACATTTGTGATGACTACATAGCCTGTAAACGTTAGCAGTATTTTCTTAGCCATATGCTGGTGACTTTGGGGTGTATTCTAGGCTTTTTTTAACATAAAAAAATCCTGTATTAGACATCCTGGTGCATAAAACTTTCCCGTTTCAGATCGCTTTCAAAGGATAGATTCCTTGAAGTGGAATTTCTGGAACAAATATTGTGAACATTTTAAGGAGAGTAATTAGTAATGTTTAATGAGTATTGTGTGCCAGACCCTGCAGCAAGTACCTTGCAGCCATTATCTTGTTTAACTGGCCCTTATCAACAAATTACACGTGGGAGGACAAATGTTGTCCATAACCACATCTTCCTCAGCCTCTCATTAGCCCCTGCTGGGGGCCTAGTTTTGTGTGGGCACTGAGTCCTTGCCTTGATTGTATAAAAGATAAAAATAAGATGTAAAAAGCAGAGTCACATCTGCAGGAAAAGAGTTTCTAATTCTACTCGGTGAGCCAAAGCATATTTCCACATACTTGAAATGATTATTTGAAAAGAATTGATCCATGGATCATTACCACTGATAAAATAGCATGCTACTCCTCCAGTAAGGCACAGCAATTTTCACAAGGTTCACAATGGACACATCACAAAGTGCTGATGTCTACTCCCCTCAAATCACTGCGATGAGAGGCTATACACAGGACAGCTTGCTCAGTACCGGGGGGGAAGATGTATTTGTGGATTCTCTTCAGACCTGGATCGTTTTCACTTGAATAGTCTCAACTCTTTAAAGCCCTCCTGTGAGGGTATATTTGCATATTTTTTTTCTAACTGAAAATTGCTTACATTTTCTTGATTTAAAAAAAATAATGTATTGTGATGTCAAAATGCCATATGACAGAGACATTATAATCAAAAAAATCAAAAACATCTGAAATCCCAACATCCATAGGTAATCACGTCACCCAAGGTGATCTAAGCAACCTCTCTAATCTACTTACCTAAGCCATCTGTCAACTAGTTGTCAGATGGATGCCAACTAGATGGATGCCTACTCCATCCATCCTCCCATCTATTTACCCATCCTACTCTACATTCTCTATACTATTTAGAATACAAGCCAGGTTATTATGACAAATGACCCCAAAATAAGATGCCTGACAGAGGGTAGAAGGGGGTAGCTTTCATGTGTGACCATCTGGGTAAACCTATCAGTGCTGCTCTGCTTGATGGTTTAGGGGACCCAGGTTCCTTCTAGCTTGTTGCTCTGCCTCCTGTGATTGATTGCTCTTGTTCTTGTAGTCCACATCCACATTCCAGCCACATGGGAGAGGAGAAAGAAACTGATGACATTCCCACTCACAGTCTGGAAACCTTCTACATGGCTTCTCACACTCTGTTGCCCAGGATTTAGTCCTATGGCCGAACCCACCTGCAAACAGGCTCAAAAAATGTAGTTTTTCAATTATGTTAAGCCACCATGTGCCCAACTGAAATTTCATGTTCTCTTATTTTAAAAAATATTTTATTTATTTATTCATGAAAGACAGAGAGAGAGACAGAGACAGAGACAGAGACACAGAGACACAGGAAGAAGGAGAAGCAGGCTCCATGCAAGGAGTCTGATGTGGGACTTGATCCCAGGTCTCCAGGATCACACCCTTGGCCAAAGGTGGCACTAAACTGCTGAGCCACCCGGGCTGCCCTCATGTTCTCTTATTAAAAGAAGGTAGGAGAATGGATATTCAGAGACAACCACCCATATCTACCAAGTTTTCCACGCAGCTTTAGAATCCATCTTTAAACTAATCAGTGCATCTTAAAAGCCATTCTATTCCAATGACTACAAATATGCCTCGTTCTTCATATGAATCCATAATATTTGTTGAAAAAATGTACCATAATGTTTTTAATGTGTCTCTTCTTGATGGGAACTTAGTTTATTCTCAGTGTTGTTATAATTATAAACAATGCTATGATGAATACCTGTGTGCTTGGAGTACTTGGTGTACTTGCCTAATTATGCTGTGGGATACAGTCCTTGAAATAGAATTGTTGTCTGACAGGGAAATAATCTTGTGGTAATTCAAACTGCTAAAATTTCCTCTAAGACATCTTGCCTAAGTTTACACTTCTACCAATATTTTTTGAGAGCTCATGTCTTCCACACCCTTGCCAACACAAAGTACTAAGACACATTCTTAAATCATTACCAACCATATAGGCAAAAGGGCTTTTCTCCCCTATTTTCTATTTATATATAAATATAGTCAGAAATAGGGGCAGCCTGGGTGTCTCAGCAGTTTAGCACTGCCTTCAGCCCAGGGCATGATCCTGGGGACCTGGGATCGAGTCCCACGTCGGGCTTCCTGCATGGACCCTGCTTCTCCCTCTGCCTGTATCTCTGCCTCTCTCTCTGGGTGTCTGTCATGAATAAATAAAATCTTTTTTAAAAAAGATAATCAGAAATCACTTCTGTATCGGTATTGCTAGTAAGTTGGATAACCCAAATTTTCATCAAAACAAGGGACGACTCTGGGGTTATGATAGCTGGTTTTCTTCCAAGCCTTGTAAAAGCCATTCTGAAGGGAGAGTTCACACAATGTGTTAAGACATTGCTTGAACAGTAGTGGGAACATTGGGAAGAGTGGGAGCTTTGGCCCAACATAGACCTTAGTTCAAATTCAGGTTTCACCACATCCTGGGTGACCTTGGGAAAGTTCCATCGTCTCTCTGAAACTTGGGCACAACCTGGACTCCATCTTGGTGTCCTGCTCCAGAGCCATGGTCTTGGCTTCTGGGAAGTGTTAGTAGCAAATTTCAGTTTATAGGTCAGTTTATTAGTCTCCCTCTCTCTCCCACTAATCTCAGCTTCTGGCAGGCAGAGATTGTGTTTCATGCAATCCTCCAGTACTGAGTAGGTGTCTGGTGCCCCACAAACACTCAATGAATGTTTGTTAGATAAGTGAATTAATGAACAAAAAAGAAATTTGAGAAGCAGGAAGAAAATAAATGGAAGAAATAATGAAATACTACCTTTCTTCAGACTGGTCTAAAGAGATGTGAAAAGGAGTACACTCAAGTTAGTGTTCCTTCTGTATGGCCAGGTGTCCACATCTGCATCAATGTCTCCCCTCCCAGAGGTTGACCATGTGTCCATGCAGGTGTGGTAAGATCACACCATGGATCTGGTTCATGTAGAGAAGTGTCCCTCTCCTGTTGGCTTCACATGCTGCATGTTCCATTGGTTATAACATGACATTCTCCTGCCTCTCTGGGCTCTGCATTTTCAGTCCTCTGTATTCTATATTTTCAAATCTGCTTGCCCCCAACCCCACACCTGAACTCATCATCCCATTAGTAAAAGAAGTGTTTTTATAAAGCATGACAGGAAATTATCTGGATGACACCAGAAGATTCTTCTTTCCTGTTTGGGGCTCCAAGAATTCACATCCTTTGCCCTGGAAGCCAAAAATGTGTTGGATCATGGAAAACCATAAATAAACAATGAAGGAGGTTTGCTTGGAAGTGCATTGTCACTGGAAGCTTTCATTGGTCAATGGCACCCACCATGTCAAGCAATGGTCCTACTCAAATCCTGCTCAGAGAGAAAGTTCACAAAGATTTTATAGCCTGAAATGTTGTGAAATTTTCCCAATCCCCTCCCATCAGGCTTCTGTTTTGCATAGGGTTCTTGCCTCTTTTTAACCCACCACTAATGTTGACATCACATTAAAATCCAAAATTATTGTAACACAAGAGACACCTAACTTTAGGAAATGAACAAGGGGTAGGTGGAAAGGGAGGTGGGTGGGGGGGTGTTGGGGTGACTGGGTGATGAGCACTGAGTGGGGCACTTGACAGGATGAGCACTGGGTGTTATGCTATATGTTGGCAAATAGAACTCCAATAAAAGAATATACAAAAAAACCCACAAAATTATTGTAAAATTATGTTGCATTACTGTGAGCTGCTTCCTGTCAGATGGACTTGGTATTCTAAAACAATTGGATGAAATAACAGGGGACAACAAATGGGAAAAATCATTATTCAGTAATGTGGCTTTTCTCACTCATTTGGTGTTGGCATGGAGGGATTTGGGAGGAGAGGGCAATGGGAGGAGGAAGGGAGTTATGACTGTGTATCCAGAAGTGTTCTCCTTGCCTGAAAAGAAGGCATGTTTGTAACTAGTAATATTTCTCTATATGATGATTAACATTCCTCAACACACTGAACAAAATTGAACTTGTAAAATCTACTCCCAAAAGTCCAAATATACTGTACCTTTCCCCTCAACTTTCTGGATCAGAAATTTGTATCTCCTCAATCCTTCTTGCAGATTTCACAGCCCTACTGGTGGATGTCATTGGAAATTCAACCAGCTACCTCACAGAGATTTTTAAGTCAACTTCCATCCTCTCAGGTGTGTTCATCTTGAAAATGCTTAGAAAATTGATTTGGCAAATATATACAACTTATCCAAATTTATCCAAACTTTGGATATATAACCAAAGCTAGTGGAATCCCCACCCCAAGCCCTGCCACATGCTGGGCTGCCAGGAACTCTATGTAAGTTTTATTTTAACAATCAATGTGGTCCAGTTTCAACCACTAGTATTTGAAGGCTCCGTCTTCCAACCAGAGTTATTCCTGGTATCTAAAATGTTGGAGGAAGAATCCAAGGCTCAGAGTTAAGGGAATCTAGGCAGACTCAAGAAAACAGCTTCTACTAGATAGCTTTAATCCCAATTTAAAGATGAAAAACTGAGACTTGGAGAGGTTGCCTATTTTGCTGAAGGTCAGTTCAGAGTTTAGTATGAGCATCTATTTGCAGCCCAAGACCATGTTCGATGTACAGTTGAGGAAGATCTGCCTCACTACACAGTGGCTTCACATAACCCCAAGCAAGTCACATTCCCCCAGGGACTCACTTTGGAAAGCACAAATCTAGTCAATTGCCCACACATGGCCTCATCAGAAGGCTGGGGTGCTGCACCATGGAGCAACTATTGTGTTAGAAACAGGGAGAAGGGAGAAGGAGAAATAGTACTAGATACATCAGCTGCAGGACTCTTCCAAGGCCTTTCCATGTATTATAACCTTGTGGAATAATTACATATGTATCCACGTGTTATAGGTAAGGAAATCACGGCACAGAGAGGTCAAGTAATTTGCCTAAGGTCATTATGAAGAAATGCAATTCCAACCCAGGTGATCTGGCTCTAAATTCCATGCTCTTGCTCATTATGCTAATATATATAATAACAGGACTGCAGTCATAGTGATAATTATTATTATTTTGTCTATTTACTGAGTTCTTCTATCTGCCAGGTACCATGCACATTATCTTACTGGGTCATCACAGCCATCCTTCGAAGGATGTGTGAGCAAACGTCCACATTGTTTTGGGCAGCATCTTTTTTTTAACAAAAAAACTTTTTTTTTTAGAGAGAGAGAGAGAGAGTGCATGGCACAAAGAAGGAGGACAGGGACAGAGGGAGAGGGAGAGGAGAGAGAGAATCTCCAGTAGTCTCCACACTCACCACAGCTCCATCTCATGACCCTGAGATTATGACTTGAGCCAAAACCAAGAGTTGGATGCTTAACCTACTGCTTAACCAGGCGCCTCTTTTGGGTAGCATCTTAAGGGACAAGGATGTTTAGGAATTCATTAGTTTCCAGACTTTTGAAGGTCTAGTAAGACACCTATACCACACATGATAAAACATTGCCAGCAGCATCCTGCCATAATTAAACACATTCATATTCATTTGGCAAAATGACCCTTTACACTAAATGAGACAAATTGAAGACTAACTAGCCTCATATCTGTCAAGTCAGATTTGCGACCAAATAAGTCCTGGTACCAAACTCATATAAAACCTTCCATCTTACAGTGATCTCCATGAGGGACTGTGGAATTCAAATGTTCACCATTTTAAAATGGGTAAACTGAGACATAGAGAGGTCAAGTAATTCACTGATGGCCACATATTCTGCTAGTAAACAGCAGAGCTGATATTTTAACACTGGCAGCTGACCCTAGAGTCTGTACCCTTAGCCATTATATTGTCCTGCACCTCCCCCCCCCAAAAAAAATCCCCAGAAAATCAGAGTTGCCTTAAAAAGGAGTTTGCCTTATTTTTCCTATAACATCTTAAGCTAGGGATTCCAGTTTAATGTTCATTTCAACCAAAGACCTACAGCTTTAGACCCACTGCTAAGTCTGGTGTACTGGTTTGTCTTACAGTGAGCCAAACGAATGAATCCGACTGCATCTTCATCTGTGTGATGACAGGAAAGTCAGGTGAACTACCCGCCATTCTTTGACAAGTTCTCTGAGTTGAGACTTAAACAGAACCTTCCAGCAGGCGAACCCAGGATTTGATCTTGTTGGTGTGGTTTTTGTAGGAAGGAATCTTTCTGACTTCTGGGAGATGGCGGAGAAGTCTCCTGTTATCAACTACACGTTCACCAGCAGCATGGCTGGTGTTCTGGGTGAGTGTAAACCCCCAACGCTCCTACTAGAGGCTCCAGGCCAGGGTTCCCAGGTAGCAAAATGAAAACTGAATGCTGCCCTCGGGTGTTTTGTTTAGCTACACTGTGCTAAAATCAATGGGTTTCACCACTAAAGAAAATTCATCTCTGGATTCTCTTACAAAAGAAGAACTGATGACTCCACTGGAGTTGAGTAGTCACTGTCTCCATTCCTCCCATTAGGAGGGACACCATCCTCCTCTTTTCCATAGACTTCTCTGTTCCTTATCACCTGACACATTTTTCTCAGATTAACTACCTGGATTTTGTAGGTAATTGAATTAGTGACCCTGTTGTATACATTGTCACCCTATAATACACAGCCCCTCCCAACCATCCTCTACCCCTCTGCGCACACTGCTGCCCATCTGCCTCTCTCTTCCGTGGCACAAGTGGCATTTTTGGAACTACCTTTGAACACACTTTCACCCCTACACTTAACGATCATTTGTAGCTGAATAAAGTTTCTGGAATCTGGCTGGTCCTCCAAGATTATCTGCTGCTGCTGTGGTTCCAGTCCTTCTCATCTACCTTTGAAATGGGATAGCCTCTGAACCAGTCTTCCTTTCATATTTCTTTAAAATATCCCTCTATTGCCAATAGAGCAATAGTCTTAAAATACATTTGGGTTTTGTCTCATCACTGCTCAGAACAGAGTCGGTAGCAGAGGGTCCAAAGCCCTTAGCCTGGAGCATACATTGCTCTGTCATCATGCCCAGCCTCATCTGCTCTCTTTTTCCTTGAACCTTCTGCTAAAATGACATTGAAACTCCTGCCTTTCTTGCAGATGGCATCTCTCTGCATGCCCGTGTCGCTCTGCTCAGCCTGGAGCTCCTTCCTACTTTTCCATATTTCAGAGCCCCACTATGTCTGTCAATCACCAGCTCAGCTGCTGCCATCTTTTTCCTAAAAATCCCCCAATCAATATTTTTCTTCTATCTTCTATGACTTCTTAATATGACACTCATTCATCATTTGGACTCTGTGTTACTCCAGGTTGGAACACAAGTGACTTTCTGTGTGTGTCTCCTCACTGAATGATCCTTCAAGGCAGACACCAAGTCTCCTTCAGCCTCACAATCTGCCTTCCCCCTGGTGCCTTGCATGATATCATGTCCATAGGAGGCTCTTGGACAGCGTTTCTTGGAGTGAAATGAAATTTACAATAAATCTCCAATTCTACTTCAGGGGACTGCCTTGATTTGCTTTTATAACAGTTCTGTTTATGTATCTTAGTTATGCTGAGGAAGGAACCTCAACTTGTATGGAATGAGGCTGCTTGATGAGACGATGAAGTAGGAATTTGTTGGATTCCCTTTGCCTACTTGATTCTGAGGGCAGATCCAAGGACTGGGTCAATTTCACTTCTTTAGAGAGTCCTCCCAAGACCTTCCCACACCATCTTAATTATATCTACCCTTTGTCTTCCTTTATGAAGTACAAATGCTTGGGAAGAGAGAACATGTTTACAAGTTGACACGTATTTGCAAGGTTGATGTGCTTGATAGCCAGTCACCTGGCTGAGTGATAGCCAGGAAGGCACTTAGCCCTATGTCCAATTGATCTGGAAACAAGCACCAGGCCTCTGGTGCGTGTGGGTTCTACTGATCCCAGAAGTAAAACAGGAGAGAAGAGATGAGGCTGCAGGACCATGTCTTACCCTTGTACAGGATGTGCCCTGTACAGTGACCTGCCAAAGGGGCAAGTGAGGGCTGAAATCCAACCCAGAAGAAGGGATCCAATGCTCATAGGAGCCTGTCATCCTGACATGCAGCTTCCACCACTAAAGGCTGCCCAAAAGGAGCTAGAAGGTAAAAATGAACACCTGAGTCTTTTCTTCCCTGTCTTCATGGAGCATCCAAGGGCACTGTGTAGATCGCCCTCCGAATTGAGCCTTCCTGCTATTTCAGTGGGGACCCATCTTTCAGGCAGCTTCTTCCTGGCAGCTTCTGATGCCCCCAAATTCCACCTCCGGTCTCTAGTTGCACCCATAGGACACATGGATCAAGCCTGTCCCCCTTCTAGGAAAAAGTTCTGGAGCCATCAAGCTGCTGAGGGCTGTGAGGTGGGTGAGGACTCTGATGGATTCAGGTTCTGTCAGGAAACCTGTCGGTTGTCGGATACTTTGCAGTCTGACAGCTTTGCATTCTGTTCACAGTGCTTCTCCACATAGTGTTTTTGGAAATTGATATTTTAGCTTAATTTGCCATTCAAAAAGAAATCCTCCTCTTTTGTGACATGTGGTACTGTTCCAAGTAAGGTTTGGATCTCTGTGTTTGGTACATTTGCATCCAACAATCTTTCAGTGGCTTGACAATTTTTTGCTCAAAGTGTCAAGCATATTAAATCTGCCATTGACCATCTCACTGAATGTACAGCTACCAGGAGCACAGCCATGACTTCAAAGCTCATGCCCACAAGCCAGCAAATGCTACCGAGGACAAGTCCCCTGCGCGGAGTCCAGAGCACCAGGGCATCTGTTCTAAGAACCTCTCCATGGACAGAGACAACTCCTCCTGCAGAGGGAGAGCAGACAAGGAACACAGATAGGCTTGCCCAGCTTCCCACCAGGGCCACGGCCACGCAGGGCAGTGCTTCACCCACCCTCCCATCCTTGGGTAAGAAGCTTTCTCTCCCTTTCCCCTCCTGTCCTGTTTCTCCCACCTGTTCCCCCCCTAAGCTCACATAAATAAGTGAAACCCTTCCACTATCCCTTCTCCAATGACCCTGTTCTCCTTCAGCATCCTTGAAATAAGAGATTGGTGTGAGTCAATATGAGTTTGATGCAGACAAGCAAAGGCACCAAGTATCATTGGCATAATGTCCTGCTGACATTTATTTGTATGATTTTTAAAATTTTGAAATAGTTGAAGACTCACAAGACATTGCAAAAAATAGTACAGAGAGCTCCCTGATATCTTTCACCCAGCATCTCCCAATAGGAGTATCTTACCTAAGTGAAGTATGTTGTACCATGATGTATTCTTATTTCAGCAAAGCACTTAGCAATATCTCTCCTGAAATGAACAGTATGTGGTGGAATGAGGTCAACATTTCATGGCAGGGTTAGGTTAATTTGTAGCTGGCTGGATAATGATGCCAAAAATATGTTGATGACTTGATGCCAGCATGGAAAGCTGCCATACATCATGTGCCACCATCTTTGTAGATACCATCAGTACTGTTGTCACAGAAGATGAAAGGATATGTTCATGCTATTTGGAAATAAGATACAACAGAGATAACACTTTCATTAAAAGCCAGTACTGTCTTGATGAGTTCCGACAAGGGACGAGAGTTATAGAATTCATTCGTTCATTCATTCACTCATCCAGATATGTTTTTAATACCAGACTCCGGGTTAGCTGCTAAAAGCACAGCTCTATCAATGTTCCCTTTCATTCCTGAGCTTACGGTCCAGGGAGGAGACATGGGGCAAGTAAACTGATATTATCTATCCTACAAAGAACTATTATACTGGAGAGCCCAGCGAGGGGACTTCCTGGAGGAGGTAAAAACTGATGGGAGTCAGGCAGGAAGGAAAGCAAGAATGAGGAAAAGGAATCAACTTCACTAACCAGAAAGTCATTAGTATGCTAGCTGGTATCATGACAATCCCACATAATTAGAAAGTTTCCCAGAACAATATGAAGGAAAAAAAAAAAAAGAAAAAGATGTGATTGCTAGCGGCAAGAAAAACCATAAAATACTTAGCTGTAAGTCTAGCAGGAAAAGTGCTAGGTTCTATATAAGAAAAACTATAAAACTTTAGTGAGAGTAATAAAGGCATATTTAAATAAATAAAGTGATATACCATGTCCTGGATGAGAAATCTGAATATTTTAAAGATGGAAGTTGTTTGCAACTTGCAACTTAACTATTTTTATTTTTTAAAGATTTATTTATTTATTTATTTATGAGAGAGAGAGAGAGAGGAGCAGAGACACAGGCATAGGGAGAAGCAGGCCCCCCGCAGGAGCCTGATTCAGGATTCGATGTCGGATCCCAAGATCACAACCCGAGCCAAAGGCAGTTGCCCAACTGCTGAGCCACCCAGGCGTCCCACCAACTTAACTTTTTTTTTTTTTTAGAAATACTGTTTTTTTTTAAATTTTATTTATTTATGATAGTCACAGAGAGAGAGAGAGAGAGAGAGAGAGAGAGAGAGGCAGAGGGAGAAGCAGGCTCCATGCACCGGGAGCCCGATGTGGGATGCGATCCTGGGTCTCCAGGACCGCGCCCTGGGCCAAAGGCAGGCGCCAAACCGCTGTGCCACCCAGGGATCCCCAACTTAACTGTTATATTTAAATTTTTCTCTGTGAGTTTTAAAAACTTGAAAAAAATATTTTTCATGCCTACCATGGAAATGAATAAGAGAAAACCTAGATAGAATTACTTAAAAGACCAGCGAGGGATGATTGGGCTTCGTCACAACCCTGTGATACCGTATTACCGTTATTAGCTTTATCATCATCCCCATTTTAATGATAAAGCTAAAAAAAAGTGAAGTCACTTGCTCTCAATGTCATAACATGAGGGAGGCAAAAACAGTTTCCTCTCAGGGTCTCCTCACCTCGAACCCCATAACCTTTCCACTGGGTCACACGATGAACTTTGAGAGAGCCCACTGTTCGGATGTCCAAGGAATTTAGAGATTCCTTTCTTAATTGGTAGTTAGGAAAATAAAGTTTACTTTGTTCTATTCATTCCAGTTCAAGGTAGAGCTTAAATCCCTGAGTTACCTGTTTTATGCATGCATGTTGCATTTCCCCTTTGGTAGCATTTCAGTGTTTTGGTTATTTTATGTCTGAATCAAATCGGTCAAGAATGTAAGTGGCCTGTTACTGTCTCATGATCAGCTACCAGGAGGTTGGCCAGGACCCCATGGGTGACAACGGACAGTCAGGCTCAGACTCCCACACTGCCTACGTTCTTGGCACCCGGAGGGCCTCCCTGGGAAATGCTGTCCTCCACGCTGACATCGCCTGCTGAGGCCACGGCCACAAGGAGCCTTTCTGGGCCTCCCTCTAGGACAGCAGCCACACTGGGCAGCTCCTCCCAGACCAGCCCAACCTCAGGTAAGAGGAGGTGTTCACTCTCATTTCCCCCATTTTTAAGCTAAATTTAGCCCTGTCTGTTTTTAAAACATTTTCTAAATTTTTGAAATACAATGCACAGGAAAGTAATGAAACCTAAGTTAGCACCATAATTAACAATCATAAAGCAAACTCTCTCTTCCTTTTCTTTACTCCAACCCTCTTCTTTCACCCTGAATGAATGAATGAATGAATGGAAACTCCCTCTTTGCAGGGTCTCCCATGCTCTCTCTGTTTTATGTATCGAACTTAGAAATTTCCAATTTCCAGAAAAATTTCTTTTTCACTGCTCATAAAGCAAGTGACCACTAGGAGCCAATACTGTTCCCTCCAGCCAATTCAACTGCCTTTTTGGCGTAAGATCAATAGGTATTAATGTTATTTCATTAATCACATATGCACGATGTATATGCAATATAATGTGGCATACTAGTTAACTACATACACAAATAAAATGATATGTGCATTCATATGTAATCATGTGCTATCAGGAAAGCCTGAGTTACAAAAAACAAGAAAAAAGTTGTCAAATGTGATCTCAGTTTCATGTATCTATGTGTTTACGTATGTGTGTAATAAATAATACACAGAAAATAGAAAGTGAACCAAAATAAGACTGAAAAGAAATTCACAGTGTATTAACCTTGACTATATCTGGGAAGTAGATATGATTTTTATTTTTCTTCACTCCACTGTCATGAATTTTCCATATCTTTATCCTCCTATAATCAAACAAAAAAGTTTTACTGTATTTATTTTTAAAATCACTTCCTCTGGGGATCCCTGGGTGGCACAGCGGTTTGGCGCCTGCCTTTGGCCCAGGGCACGATCCTGGAGACCCGGGATCGAATCCCACATCGGGCTCCCGGTGAATGGAGCCTGCTTCTCCCTCTGCCTGTGTCTCTGCCTCTCTCTCTCTCTGTGTGTGTGACTATCATAAATAAATAAATAAAAATTTAAAAAAAATGATTTAAAAAAAATCACTTCCTCTGGCACCTGCTGCCAGTGGCCCTTCTTCCAAGCTCACCACAGCTGGAGATCAGAAGACTCGTCATGTCTGTGCTTTGTGTCCATTAATTTGACCTTCCTGCCTGTGGGCCATGCTCCCCCCTCAAGAACCTGGAACGTAACAGGCATTCAGGAAAAGTTGGCAGGACCACCTGCATTTCTTTAAGAAATGGAAGGTATACATGCGAAGTCTTGCCTTGAGACTCAAAATCTCAATTGCACCAACAGATCTGGGGATGCAATTTTGGTAACTGCCATTGATGGGAGAAACACCTCACAGGATGGCATAGGAACAATAAAAGCTAACACATTTGGGTTTGGCTAACAGGACATCAGCAGCCAGCACAGTCCTGAGGCTACTCTGTCTGGTCTTTATTCCAGACACAGCAGGGTTGAAATCGACTCCACCTTTGCTGTCTGTCCTGAGACCCTTCTCTTGATCTCTCTGAGTCCTGGTTTTTTCATCTTCAAAACTGGGGGCAGGGATAGCTAACTTTTGGAGCAGCTGTGAGGATTGAATCAGGTGGCTTCACTAAGGCGTTCAGCTCAGCATGTGGCACCTGGGAACCACTCAGTCCCTGGCAACTCCTATCAACCTGTCCCACGGCACCCCCAGTACAGCGTGGTGGCCGGCTCCTAGGGACCCACTTCGCAAAGGGCAGTGGCCAGCAGGACATCACCAGAGGAGAGCCTGGGTCTGCTTTTGCCCGAAGTCCCTTTCAGCTCTAATCCTCTATAATTTCTACAGTCATTTAGTTAAACTCTGTGTTTGGGTTGTGATTAAAGCTGCTCTGTTGCACCCAGCCAGCAAGCATCAACTGACACCTTCTGGTTCAGGGGGCTTACAGTCCTATGCTGACCGCCTCTAAGAAAATGGCAAGACTGCCCCATGTAGGTGGGCCCCCTGACCATAGTGGTCTGCACATGTGTGATGCTGCCCAGCTTGGGTACCAATGCAGTGGCCCACGTGGAGCAGAAGCAGCATCTAATGCAATGTTGCCACACCCATGGCCTAGCAGGGGAGCATAAGGAACCAGCAGCTGGCTTCCCCCCCACCTCACCACTCCACATCATCCCCGAGAGTCCAGCCATCCAGTCGTAGCAAACAAACTGCCACTCACTTCTCTGGGGCTTTGCTTAAGCTCTTTGCTCTGCCTGGAAGGCCTGTTCTCTTCACTAACCACTATGTTTGCATCTCAGAGAACATGTCCTCTGTCCCCAACCTCCATCCTCTCTGCTCTCGTGCAGGTCAGCCTCACCCTCCTTTGCTTCCATTTCACCACACAACTGAAATGGCCCATCCCATCTCCCTCACCCTCACCCCCTCCAAGGAGGCTGCTTTGCCACTTTTGCCAGAGACCAGGTTCTTGACAGCAAGGTTCATATCCTGAAGTGGTCCTTAAGCCAGGACTTTATGAACATGATGAAAAGAATTGCTCAGATGAGCCCATGCTCTACCATAAAGAAGACAGACAATTTACAAGGATGGGCATGAAGGCACCACCTTTGGTTGACTAGGGCAGGACTGGTGGCATGGGGCTTCTTCTCCCCATCATGCACCCCAAGAAAAAACATGGGCTCTCTCCTCCTTCTCTTCCTCCCAGGACCCTCCACCCCTGGCACACAGACCCCGAGTCCGACCAAGGCACCAGCTCCAAAATATCCACAGACAGGTAAGAAGAACATGCGGCTAGGAAGGGAATCCCAGTACCACATGGCTTTGGGGTAGGGCTCTGGGCGGTGGGGGGTGGTGGGAACAAGGGAGCCAGTAAGCTGACCAAGCCGGGCATCATACTTCATCAGTTCTAGCAGGAAAAGAGGCAGGAGAACTCGTTTACAAGCCTTGCCATGTTGCTAAGTTGCCCTGCGATTTGCATAAAGCACTCCCTCTTTCTTGGCTACAATTCCCTCTAGATTTCGAGAATGCTTTATCCTTAAGGTGCTATTATTCCTTAGTTGTGTGTAACACCCAAAGCCAGATTGTGCTGACTGTTGTGCGGCCACTCTTGCCCCTTGCAGGGGACCTCCCTGCAGCATGGCCACCTACTCCTGGAGAAGAGCCAGCCCTGGTCCCAGGACCCCACCACGTCTCAAGTACGTCCCGGCAGCCTGCCGCTCTGTCGCCCTTATGTATTTGGAAGGAGGTGGTGTAGTGCAATAAAAAGAGGTTTGCTAGATAAATTTAGATTCAGAGTGCTGGGATTAAATCCTAGGTCTACTATTTACTGGTGAGGCGGGCTCCAGCGCTCAGCTTCGGGAATTCAGTTTCCTCGACTGGGAAGCAAGAATAATAACAATTATCGTGGGCACTAAAACTGTCTTTATTTCCCATGGTTTTGTATTGAGTAAGATAATGTGTGTGGAAGTGATTTGGAACTACAGAGCTCCGCATAACTTAATCCAATCAACTTTTATCGAGTGAACACCCTTGAGTGAGGCGCTGTGCGCTTTGCAAACAGAGGCTGTTCTTTTCATGAGCCTGATGTCAGCAAAGGCGGCGGAAGGAGGAACAGGTGACTCCCAAATTCAACCCCCATTCACTGGATGCAACTTACTTTTGTTGCATTTTACTTATTATTTTTAAAGATTTTACTTATTTATTGGAGAGAAAGAGAGAGAGCGAGAGAACAAGCAGGGGAGGGGCATAGGGAGAAGGAGAAGCAGATTCCCTGCTGAGCAGGGAGCCTGACCTGGGGCTCGATCCCAGGACCCTGAGACCATGACCTGATCCTAAGACCTCAGGATCATGACCTGAGTCAAAGGCAGGTGCTTAACCAACTGAGCCACCCAGGCACCCCTACTTTTGTTGTGTTTGAAAGGACACCCTGCCTCTCTCATCCCTGACCCTTAATTTCTATGGAATTGTAGAGGAAACCATGTCTTGGGCTTATGGCTGGGTTTTTGAGACTCCTCACAGAGGCTCGGCGCTTCAGTTTCTGGGTTTCGTGATGCGTTTTTTTCCATTTTTGGATGCCTCGTTCTCTTCCTTTCTGCTCCAGAAGACAGAAATTGATACAAAGTGAGCCCTTCAAAGCTGGCGGAGCCCCTCAGGCCCCTCCCACTCCTGGGTGCCTTTGTATGCCAGTTTCCAGAATGTTCCTGGACTATCCAGGCATATGTCAGCAGGGCATTATTAAATTCCTGGAGACTACACAGTCTCTTTTTTCAGACACTGGAGATCTGCCCCAGCCCCACTCCCAAACTGCAGTGAATGGGCCTTTCAGACACAAAGCCATGATTATACTGCCAAAAGAAATTATAGCCATTTTCCCCCAGAGGTTCTAAAGAAACACACTGTTGGTGCAGATGGGGGGCAGTTGTCAGACTGAGTTTTGGAAAACAAGTTGACTATATAAACTATCTGTATCTGTATCTACTTATATAGCTCTCTCTATTATCTATCTATCTATCTATCTATCTATCTATCTCTGTCATTCTGTTCATCCATCCATACAATAAGAAATGTAAGTACAAAATAAAGGGGTTTTGACAATTTCCAGTGACTGATTCTTCCCATTCACAAAGAAATCATGCCACAAAGTCTTTTGAGATTGACTCCTTCATCCACTCCGTAAATATTTATTGAGCTTCTGCTGTTTCCCATGCACTGTACTAAGCCTATTTTTACCCTTTCTTTGCAATAATTCTGCAAGATAGGTAATATTATCTTCATTAAGCAATTTCAGTGAATGCTACAGCTAAAAAGTAACTAAATTTTGAGCTTACATTTGTCTAATTCCAAGCCTGTGCTCATTCCACTCTTCTGTGTTATCTGTTCCAAGATTCTCCATCTGTATAAAATAATTGCAATTCGAGGAAGAAATTAAGTTTTTTATATGTATATTTTTATTGGAGTTCGATTTGTCAACATACAGTATAACACCCAGTGCTCATCCCATCAAGTGCCCCCCTCAGTGCCCATCACCCAGTCACTCTATCCCCCCGCCCACCTCCCCTTCTACTACCCCTTGCTCATTTCCCAGAGTTAGGAATCTTTCATGGTTAAGTTCTTAAGAGAAAAAGCAGTAAATGTTATGTGCAGCCAGAGAGGAAGAGATTAGCTCCATCTGGAGGGATTGCTCAAGAAGTTTTCATTCATCCAGAAAGTGGCATCTGGGGACACCTGGGTGGCTCAGTCAGTTAAGTATCTGACTCTTGCTTCCAGCTCAGGTCATAATCTTGCAGTTGTGGGATCGAGCCCTGCATTGGGCTCTGCACTCAGTGTGGAGTCTGCTTGAGATCCTTTCTCTCTCTCCCTCTGCACCTCCTCTCTCTCTCTCTCTCTCTCATAAATAAATAAATAAATAAATAAATAAATAAATAAATAAATAAAATCTTTAGGGGAAAGAAAGAAAGAAAGAAAGAAAGAAAGAAAGAAAGAAAGAAAGAAAGAAAAAGAAAGAAGAAAGAAAGAAAAGAAAAGAGAAAGAAAGAAAGAAAGAAGAAAGAAAGAAAGAAAGAAAGAAAGAAAGAAAGAAAGAAAGAAAGAAAGAAACGCGTCAGAACAAGGTAGCCTCTATGTATGCATTCTAAGTAGAGGCACAGCTTATGCAAAGGCATGAGGCAGGAAAGGACAGATGTTTTTCCAGGGGCTGGAATTCTGATGCTACAGGAAAGTGATGAGGAGTGAGGGAGCAGAGGCTGGCAAGGGGACAGGGCGCTGTCCCACGGCTGTAGAAGGAATGTGGACCTCTCCTGAGACAAGTGGGAGTGACATGGTCAGATTTGTGGTGCAGAAAGGCTTCTCTGACTGCAAAGTGGAGACTAAAGAGGGGAGGATATGAGAGTGTTGTACTAACCATAGCCAGAGATGATGGGGGCTGGAACTAGGAGTTGGCTGGGGAAGACTTGACTCAATAGGAAGACTTGAGTGATATTCAGGTATCAAGAAATGTGACGATGGTGGAGTGATCCCCCAAGACATAACCAAACATCACACCCAAGTTTGGACAGCTGAGCAGTAAAGAGCCATTTCCAGAGATGGAGAAGCATGGGAGAGGTTGGGAAGGGGAGAGAGGCATGGAAATCAAGCTTCAGAAATGTCAAGGATGCTCTGAGTAGTAAAGTGTGCTGGTTATGAGCTCCAGACTCAGGTCCTGTCAGAGCCACTACCTGCTATATAACTGATCAAACTACAGGATCATTCAGGCTCTCTGTATCCTCTTCTATAAAATAGATATTTTATGAGAATTAAATGAAACAAGGTATGTAAAGAACTTAGGAAAGTAGCTGATACATAGCAGGTGTGCAATACATGTTAAAGAAAAAAAGCCATAGCATACTTACAAAAATTGATAAATGCTCTGGAGGGTTTATTGTTCTAATTGACTCAGGATAAAATTCAAAATACATTTCCTGCCTATATTTTTTACTAAATCTTTTCCTAACATTATGAGCCTTCTCTCCACTTTAATACATATATAACTAATAAATGAATGGATAAAGAAAATGTGGTCTATCTATATACACAATGGAATATTACTCAGCCATGGAAAAGAATGAAATCTTGCCATTTGCCACAAAGTGGATGGAGCTAGAGGGTATAATGTTGAGTGAAATAAGTCAGTAAGAGAAAGGCAAATACCATATAATTTCATTCATATGTGGAATTTAAGAAACAAAACAAAGCAGGGAAAAGAGACAAAGCAAAAAGCATACTGTACTCCTAAATATAGAGAACAAACAGCTGGTCACCAGAGGGGAGGGGGCTGGGGGCACAGGTGAAACAGGTGATAGGGATAAAGAGTGTGCACGCATGTTGATGAGCACAGGGTGATGTAAAAAAGTGATGAATCACTATATCATACACCTGAAAATAATATTAGTTTGTTATGTTATATATGTATGTATGTTAACTACATTGGAATTAAATTTTTAAAAAGAAAATATAAAAATAAATCTAAAGCTGCTAAATTATAACTTTCAATTCATAAAACATGACTCACAAAAATATGAAACAAACACATGTCAGAGATATTATTTGCCCATTAATTAATGAATTGATTAAAATTGGCTCAATGGAGAGTGTGAGGAATAGGGATTTTTATAGTCCCAGGAATTTGGAAGGGAATTTACTAATTGATATCGTATTGCAATAAGTTATTTTTTTCTCACTGGACAAAAAAAAAAACAGTTGCACCTTGCCCAGACATAATTCATTTACATTGCTTATGGACAAGAATTATTTGTGTTGCTCTCAGATGATAGTCATTTACGCTACTATCAGCTAATGTCTTCAGAGTTATAAAATCACCTACTCAATAGATCAATCAAAGGCACATACCCTTATATAACCAGATAATCCCCCACCGAGTCTGCTAGACAATCCCCAGAACTTACTTCCAGGTTTTAGATCATCTTTCTTGATAGTAACTAGCAATTCTTTTTTGGAAGATTATTATCAATATCCTAATATAGTCTTCAAAACACTGAAGGGTGAGCTCTGTAAGAGGAAGCCTCTTTTCCTCTTCTTAAAAAAGATTATTTACTTGAGAGAGAGAGAGAGAGAGCGAACATGCACATGGGGGAAAGGGGAGGGGCTGAGGGAGAGCGAGAGAGAGAGAATCCCAAGAAGGCTCCACGCTGAGCAGGGAGCCTGATGTGGGGCTTGATCCCAGGACCCTGAGATCATGACTTGAGTGGAAATCAAGAGTCTGACATTTGACCGAATGAGCCACCCAGTTGCTCTGCTCAATACATTTTTAATAGATCGGTAATCATAGCTATTATTTATTGTTTATTCCATAGCAGGAACTTTGCAGTTTGCTTTGCATAAATTGTCTCCTTTAATCCTCCCTGTGGTCGTCAGGCGACAGACACCCATACACATTACCCAGTCTCACACGTGTACATACATATGCCCGCATACCCATGCAAAGTGCACATACCCATGTGTGCACATGCTCACACATATGCCTGCACACACACACACACACACACACACTCACCATACCCCACACCCTCTGTACCATCCAATTATGCTCCATTTCCCTATCAGTAAACCATCCCCTTGCATGAGGTTGAGTCCTCACATACCCTACCTCTTCCTCTGGAGATGCCTCCACCTTATCCACTTCTGTTTAATGTTTTTGGATTCTTTTTTAATATTTGCTCTCAGTGAAACCATCTCTGATTTCTTCTGGGAACTGGACCCCACCTTTCTCCACCTGCCTCTTGTTTTCTCACAGCAGCTTTCCTGGGCACTGACGAAGCAATGTTTGTCTACCTCTCTGTCCCAGAGCCACCTGAGATCAGGGGTGAGACTCTATTCACCAAGTATCGTACCTGTCAGAGGGAAGATGCTTGCTTGACCCTTGGTGATTTCGGTGGCCTGGGATTGCCTCTTCTAGGGTGTCCTCAGCTGCTCCTCAAGGAAGGGGCCATCACAGCTGCTCCCCTCACCCTGGCCATCCAGAAGCTCAACCCTTGCCTGATGGAGCTGTGCCGCTTTTTCCAGCAATGCCTCTGCATGAGCAGGAAGAGAGACCCGAGGACGGAGGCCGTGAGGTAACCTGAGCCAGTTGTCCCTTCCCACAGCCAGTATTGAGGGTCTGTATACGCTGTGTGGCTGCTCTGTAGGCCACAGGCGGCCAGGAACAGACAGGCAACAGATTAGACTCTCTGGTGAGTCTCCTATTAGATCATCATCTCCTTGAGAGCCAGGAATGGAACCTCATTCATTTCTGGGTCCCTGGAACACAGTGCAAGGCCTGACACAGCAAATGCATCTAGTCGAGCGGAGGTGAGCCGAGTTGGTGTAAACTGAGCCTGGCTGAGTCACCCCTGGTAGACTTGGCCTCTACCTGGTGAGATTTGCCAGAAGAGAACAACCAGAGGACATGTCCATCGAAATCCCAGTTCCTTCTAAATCCCTAGCAGTTATTTGCTGGCCTAATAAGAAGATCGTAAAAAGACACTTAGAAGGCAGACTGTGCTTCATATTAGATGTTCTAGGCATGGAGGTTTTCTCACCCTTGAGTGCAGACATTTTATCCTTTCTTCTGGGGTTTAGTCTCGGCTATAAACCCAGAACCAAACAAACATGGATGAACACGTCTTCTCCAGTGGTCTGGGGCCAATCCCAAAGATCTTTAATGTTCCTTCCAAAGTCCGCTCATGATCCTTCAGCTTTTTGAGATTTTATTTTTAAGCAATCTCTTCTCTACACCCAATGTGGGCTTGAACTCATAACCCTGAGAGTAAAAATTGTGTGCTCTACCAACTGAGTCAACCAGGCAGGCGCCCCTACTCTTTGGCTTTTCAAACCTCCATCATCCACTAGCTCTGAGCCCCCAGTCTGGGTTTGAAGCTTCTTTCCATTAAATCCTTGTCCTGGATCCTTCCATCAGCAATGCTTCTTCCTCCACCCAGGGAGAGACCTGACCAAGGTCCACAGACCCAAGGGTGTTAGCGAGCATTGAGGAGGCATTTCCCCACCATGCATGCTGTCCCTTCATCCTAAGGAAGAGAACACTTTTGCAACCATGCTTTCTCACAGGATCCCACCATCAGAGCCTACTTCCAACAGCTCTTCAAATCAACAACACGAGTTGAGTCTCTCCTATTTACGCGTGACGCACCATGCCGAGCCCCGGGAATTGAGAGGTGAATCAGAAACAGGCCCAGAAACCGAGGATTTCATGATCCTAAATACAAATTAAAATACGACAGGGTGAGGGACAGAACCAAGCCATACCCAGAGGCAGAACCTATTCTTCATATCCCCTTGGGGGAAAAAAAATCACATTTAAAAAATCTGTATTGCAAGTGCTGGGTGGAAGGATAAATGAGGAAGGAGGAAGTTTCCAGAAAGGGGTTTAAGTGAAAATTTAGGGAGATAAAGCGTCTATGAATCTGAGCTTATCCCTGTATTTTAACCTAATAGCTAACTGTTCTATAATTTCATACTAAACATTGAGTCCCGGCTAGGACTAATAGAGTGGGAGGCTGGCTGGACTCTGTGTTTGTTGAATAGGACAGCCTCCGTGATCAAAAAAATCATGCTTGACTGGGGAAGTTGGCCACGTAAAGAGAAATTACAAAACAGTGTGACAAGCACTGTGGCAGATCCCAAGTATGTACCAGGGCCACTGATAGGGCTTGATGGAGGAACAGAAGCTTCCAGGGCAGGCAGTGGGAGAGGCCACTCCAGGCTAAAGGAGCAGCAAGTGCAAAGACGGACAAGCAAGGTGCAGCCTGCAGCATCACCGGGACAGGCAGGATGGCTGCAGCCAAGGTGATCGGCCAGTGGCCCTGGCACAGGTCCCTTTTCAGGGGAGCCTTGCTGTCTTCAAGCACCTGGCGAGCTCTTGGCAAACAAGTCTGGACTTTTTCCCATTGGTCTCCAGCTGCTCCTCCCGGCTGTGCATTTCCTCCTTCATTCAGAACAGATTGAACCCATTCCCCAGGGTAGTAGGATATCCTCTCTGTTTTAGAAGCTTTCTAAGCATTTTGTTTGCAGTTGTTAGAAGAAAATCTTGTCAAGCTGGCCCACTTCAGGCTAGGTGAGGGGAGATTAGGGATTAGGCCGCAGAACCGCACCCTCAAAGCTAGTAGGTAGCTTACTGTGCTGTATGATTGGGGGGCGGGTGATGGGAGTTGAAACCAAGCAGACCCGGGTTTAAATTTAGGCTCTGCTGTGTACACGCTATGTAGGCTGGTCATGTAATCTCTCTGAGCCTCAGTTTGTTCTTCTGCAAAATGACTATAGCCCTGTTGGAAAGGCAGTGCACTTGGGCATGAAGCAGATTACGTGGGTAAAAATCCCACACTGCCTCTTGAGAACAGTGAGTCTTCAGGCAAATCAGACCATCTCTGTGCCCTAGTTTTCTTAATGTCTCAGTGTCCTATAAATTGAGAGTGATAGAGCCTGGGGAATCCTTACAGCCAGCTTTACTTGAGCAGTTAGTGGCTCCCCAGAGAATGCTAGAATCACAGAGCGGTGGAGACGGGAGAGAAATGGGAAGATGTTTGACCCAACCTCATCACGTATCCGGTGAATTCCCAGAGTCCCACAGTGAGCCGCCCACTCAGAAAGCTCTTCTTCCTAAAATTGTGCTCGGTGCTCTTTCATTGAAGGCCTCCGAAGCCATCCCTGCAGTCCCAGCTGAGAGCTGGGAATTATTTTGCAAGTACTGGCGGCCTTGTTAACTGTAACAGCCCTGCGCTCTTCTCACCCCACCTCACGCAAACAAACAAATAAATGAACATCACCATTTGCTGAGCACCATACAAGCCCGGCCCTGTTTGGAAACTTGGTCCACGTTAGCTCACTTAATCTTCGCGATGACCTGTGAGGGTAGGTTCTAGCATTGCCCTTTCATGTGTAGATGAAAAATCTAAGGCCCAGAGAAGTGAGTGCTCAGCCTGAAGTCACACATCCCTGGTCAAGAATGATGCCAGAACTAAAAATATAGCTTTCTCACTCCAAGGTCTAAGCCTTTCCCTGCTCAGCCTCATCCCCTGCCTCTCCTCCCACACCTTGTAGAGATGGAGAGGGGGTTCTTACTGTGAAGAGTTGGCCACTCTGACTTTTTAATTTATTTTATTTTTTATTTTTTAAGGATTTTATTTATTTATTCATAAGAGAGATAGAGAGAGAGAGAGAGAGAGGCAGAGACACAGGCAGAGAGAGAAGCAGGCTCCACGCAGGGATCCCGAAGTGGGACTCGATCCCGAGACTCCAGGATCACGCCCTGAGCCGATGGCAGATGCTCAACCACTGAGCCACCCAAGCGTCTCATACTCTGACTTTTTAAACGATGATAATCTTCCCTTAGCCACAAGGGATGGTGACTGCTTTCCACTCTAATTGGAATCTTTAGGTACTGTCTTGAATACTACTCCTGGTTTCTGAAGAATGCCACCTACATCTGTCAGAGGGTGAAACAGATGCCTCACTCCCAGAGTAAGTAAACACCTGACCGTGTTATAACTTAATCATAAATGCCTTCTATGAAAGTGTTCTAGAACTCAGTGGTTGCTCCTGCCTTCGTTGGGGGCCAATCACAGTAGGTGCAGCTCATGCAGTCCTCATTAATTCTAGACCAAAAAAAAAAAAAGTGGAGGGTATTTCTGATTACTCTTCACCTAACAGTTTGATGTTTGCAATTAGGCATGGAAGAAAAAAGAAAAGAAAAATAGCAGGAGTCAGTCCAACTAAGCAGTGTTGCTTTCTGTGTGAGCTCCAGCAAGTTTCTGAATCCTCCCTGACTCCCATGTAAGGTAAACATATAAATGAACAAAGAAAAATCAAACAAAAGACAGATCCCATAGAAATGCTCAAATTCCTGACCAAAGCAAAATGAGCACAAATAATCCAAGAAAAATCTTGTTCTTGTTTTGTTTTTTAAGATTTTACTTTTAAGTAATCTCTATGCTCAACATGGGGCTCACACTCACAACCCTGAGATCAAGAGTCACATGCTCTATGGACTGAGCCAGCCAAGCTCCCCCAAATAATCCAAGACGAAGAAGGTGGCCTGAGGTGCTAGGAGTAGGGTATACAGTACCCCTCTCCTTATCCTGATGGCATCAAAGCCCCCATTTACTCCCAGAGAGGCCAGGTGTGACCTTTGGTTTTTCTCCCATTCCTGCAGACAAAGTGGCCGATCTGGCCTAACTGGTCCCCAAGCTAATGGTCTGGCCATCTACCTGGACTTCCCAGTCAAAGGACTCTGACTTTCTAAAACTGGTGGAACTATATGGAACTTAAATTACCTTCACTCTGCAGCGTAAACGTCAAGCATTTGGGGGTGGAGGGCTCAGTAGTCAAAGAAATTCCTTTGCCTGGTATGGGCAGAGGGAGCAGGAAATCTTGCAAGCAACCTCTACTTAAACAGCTCTTCCTCGGTCCCTGCCACACTGCAGTCTCGACTCAAACAATATATTACATCTGCTGCACAACATATTAACAAGGTTAGATTAGCTTTTTGCAAACCAGGGAGACTGGGAAACCATCACTGGGCGGAGAGTGGAGAACTGAATGCTACCTCCCTCTCCACATGGCTTCTAACCAGCATAGGGTCTTGTCCACACCCTTCCCCTTCTCTGACACAGACTCCTGAGTCCCCGGCCACTGCTTGGCCACACCCCTGCCCTCCAGAGGACCCTGGCCCATGGCTGGTGCTACCTGAATTTATGTCCCTGTAGTGTTCCTTTCTTTCTCACTCCCTTGAATTCCCTCTTCTTTTTTTCTTTCCAGCCTTAAAACAAAAATGCCTCCAGAATATCTGCCAGTCGGTGTGAGGCTTTGAAAAAGCGATGGGACCTATTGATAAATTGGACGACATCTCTTCACCTTGGCCCCTGGCCCAAGTTGGCTGACTTTGCAAAATTTGCCAGGCTCCAGCTAGGTCATCAATTAACTGAAAGAGGTTCTTTTTGGAAGTAGCATTTCTCTCTCTCCTGTGACTCCTGGGAAGGTGGAAGGCCAAAGTGTTAGAAGCTGCACGGAAACCTAAATCCATGCTCAAGAAACCCCCATGATGTTCACAGCAATCCTGAGACTGGAGAGATGGTGTGAGGGGTGTCACTCTAGCAAGAAGAAACTAGTCCAGGCCCGAGACCCTGACCCAAAGCGACTTAAACTTGGGATTGTAGGAAGAGAACAAGATAGATAAGGAAAAGTGAGCCCATGCTGTGAAGAGATTCACCTAGGATTTCTCTATACCATTAACTCACCCTCAGTTATGTACACACCAGAGTTGCTCACTATAGGACCCATATCACCCCCCAAGCACCCCTAAGTAGAAGGTGAGGAGATCTTCCCTTGGAAGAAGTATAGAGAGTTGTGGGGTTTTTGTTGTTAAGTTCTTGTCTTGATTCCTCATCTGTGGATCCTATGGTATTCAGGGGCCTCCACGAGCATTCTCAGGGTCAGTGATTCACTAATAGGCCTCATGGAACTCGGAACAGCTCCTATAATCACATTCCCTACAGCAAAAGGACAGAGATTAAAGTCAACAAAGATAAAAGGGGCAGAGGGCAGGGGCCCAGGAGCACCCAGGCACCAGTTTCCAGTTGTGGTCTCCAGTGAAGCAGCATGGGTAGCACTGGTTTCTTCCAGTAATGACATATGACAACCCATAAGGAATATTGTCAACCAGAAAGGCTCATCCGAGCCATGGATTTCTTTTTTTTTTTTTTTTTTTTTAGATTTTTTTCATTTATTCATGAGAGAGAGAGGAGCAGAGACACAGGCAGAGGGAGAAGCAGGCTCCATGCAGGGAGCCCGATGTGGGACTCGATCCTGGGACTCCAGAAGCTCGTCCTGGGCCAAAGGCAGGTGCTAAACCGCTGAGCCACCCAGGGATCCCCCGAGCCATGGATTTCAATTAGGGATCAGCCTCTAGGCATGAGGTGCCTACATGGCTGACCTCAATTACTCAATCTCCAGGCTCTTGAGAGGTCAAGGCAACATGGTGTAACCCAAAGCACCCGCTATAAATCTCATTGTTAGGGGCACCTGGGTGGCTCAGTAGGTTAAGAATCTGGGATTGAGCCCAATGTGGGGTTGGGCTCCCTGCTCAGAGGAGAGTCTGCTTCTCCCTTTGTTCCTCACCCTGCTCATGCCTGCTCTCTCTCTCAAATAAATTAATAAAATTTTCAAAAATAAAAAATCACATTATTAGCTTAGACTGTCCAGCGTGGCCCAAAGCCCAGGTGGATGGACACTTTTATCGGGCAGGAGATTCCAAGGGTTCAGAGGTTAGCTCCCGGGAGCTGTTTAAGGGCTTAGACTTTTCTTTGGCAGATGCAGGGTTCACATGCCCTAGCCCTGCTGAGTCAACCCTTTCCTGCACACCCACGGGTGCAGGTGTGTCCTTTATTAATTCAGGCCCCTCTTAACTTTCTCCAAGTCTGCAGTAGTCCCAACACCCCTGTGAATGCCAAGTCTCCGTGCAGACCATTGCCAAGCAGGCTTGCTCTTTCCAATGGCCCTGTGCTGACCCCATAGTTCCTCGTTCCTGTGCCTGGATCTCCTGCTCCACTTTCTCATGTTAGTGATGAGATGTCTGCTCTGACATCAGAGCCCCACCTTTGTGATCCGTGACTACCTCCTGGTAAGAAAATTCACTTTCCATTTGCAGTCTAAGTAGAACCTATTTTTTCCCCCATTGGAAGACACTTGAGTGCCCTTGCTCTGACTCCCTGTGAATCACAAGGCTCTTGGAAAGGTAAGAACTTGAAATTGGAGAGAGAAGCAGCCAGGCACTTCCCTCTCTGATCACACACAGATTTCTTTTTACTCTCCAGGACTCTTGAGAGAGCCTCAAAGTTATGCAAATGTCAAGCTGGGGAATCCCTGTTGTCATGACTCTTGAGGCCTGCAGAGGACCCTCTAGTTTGCAAAGCTGAGGAGGACACAGGAAATCTGCTGGTGCAAAGGGACCAGTGTCTGGATAGGAATGGAGAAAACAGCACCATTCATCAGGTGTGGGTTAATCTGAGGGGACCTTCTCTAATGGATAACGTTGGTAGTAACGAAGGCTCTTTGGCAGAGAAGGATCCCAGAAGTTCCCCAAAGAGAAATCTACCATCAGGGAAGGTGGGACTAATGACTCGGCCGGAACGCCCTGGTTCCTCACTTGGGGGGAAAGCCCAAGTGGGCCCACCCATCCTACGCCACAACGATGACGGCCGAGCGTGGCTAACTTTTGAAAGCCCACATATGGAGGACCTCGGAGGCGTGTGTAGGGATCTGACATCGCAGCAAAGACAGAGGCTTGGAGGACCACACGGGACCCATTTTCTCGGGTCACAACAGCAGCGTGGCAGGAGGAAAACAGGATCCAAGAGCAAACTGGAGTCCACAGTCTGCTGGAGGTTAAGAGGAGAGGTTTGACCCTTTCTGAGCTGAGCAAGTCCCAATTTGGAGGATGCTTGGGGCAATGAGGAGGCCTGAGGGGGTGCTCCCTCCCCCCACTAGAGTTCTTGGTACTGTGTGCCCATGTGGCCACCAGAGGTTCACTGACGAGGTAAGTGAGCTGATGGAGGAGTCGGCTACAGGTACAACATCACTAAACGGGATTCTTCGCAAGGCAAAGGCGCAGGTGCATTCCTGTCTGTTTCATTCATGCCTGAAATACAAACCAAACTGGCAGGAGAGAGGGCAGGGGGGAGGAGGGCAGGGGAGGGAGGGAAGGCAGGAGTTTTGGCGCCGAGCCACACAGCCTGTTGACCTCGCGGTTTAGAGACGAAGCGTCTTCTGCGCCGGTGGGTAAAGATGGGGGCAGCGTGGCTTCGTTCATCATCAGCGCTCAAGAGACCCCGAACAAGAACTAATGATCTATAAACGAAAGCTTCAATGCACAAGGGCAACTCATTATTTGCAGAAGCCTTCTGGTGGACCCTGTAAAGACTCAGCCCCCGCAGTTAATCGTCGGATGGGCCCCTGTGCTCCAGCAGGTGGTGGTAGGTGAACCACTCGGAGGGCTCGCGCCGCTGGGCCAACCTGTCAGCCAAGCTCGATCTCATCACCGTGAGCTCGGACAAAAGCCCCCACGCCGACCCCATGTGTCCTGTCTGTGAAGTGGAGTCCTTGCTGTGCGGGCTGTCACGACTGTGGGATTACCAGGGCAGCTTCGGGGAGAGAGGGACCCAATCCTGTAAAAACACATGTGGCGCCTAATTAGCGCTCAGTTGATGCTTGCTCTCCCTCTTAAGCCCTGGAAAGGAAACCTGAAATTCTGGAGGCATCTAGGATCACGAGCCTCACCACGCACCGCCCTTGGCTTGCCTTGTTCACACAGTCCCAGTGGGAAAATCCCCATGAAAAGTATGGGGGAGCCAAGCCCGAGGTCAGGGTCCCACTGCTAATGAGTGGCAGGGCTGGCACCCGATCCTTGCCTGTCTGATTATAAATCCCTGTCTCACCTCACCCCACAGCTGGGGCTGGAAACCCCATAAGGAAAGAGGCATCAAATTCCCAGGCCTGAGGCCAGGAACATATAAGAATCACCCCAGAGATCCTCTTGCTGAAGAATGAACTAAACCAGACAAAGCCAGCCCTTCTCCCCGTGGGAGAGCCCACGTGACTTTCATCGGTTCTGGGAGCTGATGACCCCGAGACACAATCCCTGGGCCTCTAGGCCTTTGAGGGGCGGTGGGAGGTGGGGAACAGGGGAGCCATTGTTCTCTGATTAGACCCTGGGTCTCCTGGAAGGCTCAAGATGGGCCTCTTAATACAGAGCCTCACCTGCTCCAAGTCGTAGCATTATGATGTCCTCCTCCCCCTCAGAGGCCTCCCACCTGCCAACCTGCACAAAAGCCCATCCTCTTCAGGTGAGGAGGGGGAGGGGGATCACGTGACTAAGGGTCTTCCCTTGGGGGTATAAAGGGCTCAGTCACCATCTTGTTCAAAGCGGAGCATCATTCATCCACCTGCTTCCAAGTGGCACCTTCACGGTAGGCACCCCCTCTCTCCCGATGGGTAGGGAGCCGAAGAGGGCAGGAGGGAGGGACGGGGGAGGGAGGGAGGTGTGGATGGAAGGATGGAGGAGGGGAGCTATGGATGGCAGAAGAGAGAGAGGGATGGGGGAGCTCTCAGGGCCGTGCCTGAGACTCGGATGCTAGTGCAGGATGGAGCTAGAAACCACAGGCGCCCTGAGCCCTTGTACGGACGAGGAGAAGCGATGCCGGAGGGACAGCACCTGCCGAATGGACCTGGAGAAAAATCCACTGCACCACATCAGTGAGGGCCCTGCAAACCTGTGCAGGCCCATGTGTCTCCCCAGCACACCTGCTGTGGGAACACAAGTCATCATCAGTTACAGGCCAGCCTTCCCGAGCACTTAGTGCGAGCCAGACACGGGGCCCCAGTGAACCCTCACGATGCCATGATGAAGAACCACCATCTGGGCATTTTACTGCCCAGGAAAATGAGTTCCAAGCAGCTCCAGTGCCTGGCTCAGGCCGCTCAGTACGCAGGAGGCCGAGCCCACCCAGGCCTGCCCGCTAGGAAGCCCTTGCTCTTAGACACTTCCCACGCTGCCTCGGAACCGGTCATCAGGGGGCAGCTTGACGAGCCAGCACCCCAAATAGTGCACGTGGACCAAGGCAAGCCCGGGGGAACCTTCACTTCCTCAAGGGCTGTCAGGTGTCTGCCGCCCAGGAGGCCTCCTTGGGTGAATTAGGAAGAGGCGGGCCTTCCTCCAGGGGGACACAGCTCCACACCCAAGGGCCCCTGGCTTGGCCAACAGACGGCTGCTGGATGTCAGCAGTGGCCCTGTGCCCTCCCACCTGGAGACCCTAGTTAGTGTGTGTGCCCTGGATGCGGGTCTCCCTCGCCGTGGCGCGGGGCTGAGCGTGCACTGCCTCCTCTGGCTGGCACCCAGATTTCCCTCTCTTGGTTCTCAGCATCACACCGCACCCCAGCCAGCGGCTGGATACCCTGAGGGGCCTGCCAAGCGAGTGTTACCAAAAAATGACACTTGTACAGCGAATGATTGCCAGGCTGCTTGTTTTTTTTTGTTTTTTTTAAGATTTTATTTATTTATTCATGAGAGATACAGGCAGAGGGAGAAGCAGGCTCCCCGTGGGGAGCCCAATGCGGGACTCGATCCCTGACCCAGGATCATGCCCTGAGCTGAAGGCAGAGGCTCAATTGCTGAGCCACCAGGTGTCCCTTGTTCAGGGTTTCTGATCAGGATGGCAGTTTTGGGTGGGTGCCACACATGTGGCACAGACGCCCATAGGACGGGCCGGCTCAGTTTGAAAACTCCGTCCCGTTCTCCGTGGTGTCCCTGCAGAGGTGGCCACAGCCTTGCGGGACCTCTCTGAGCCTCAGTTCCCCGCACGGGAAATGAGATGTGCTGGTAAAAGTCCTGAGGAGCCGGTCTATGGCGCATGCTCGGTGGTGCACCTGACACAAAGAATGACCCCATAAATGAAAGGCGGTGTTTAAAGGAGCAAGGTCCAAGAGCGTATGACTTACTTCGCTTTTAGTTGTGGTGAAATACACATACCGTAAAATTTACCATTTGGACGACTTGTAAGCATGCGGTTCCCTAGCATTGAGTACGGTGCAACCACCATCAGCGTCCATCTCCAGAACCTTCTCGTCTTCCCAGCTGAAGCCCTGTCCCACTCAACAATGACCCTCATCCTCCCTCCCCATAACCTACTTAAAAAAAAAAATCAGAGCCAAGTCAAGATTTGATCGGTATTAAGGTCACTCTTGCTCATTTGCCTTCTAATAAATACATGCTTGAAAATCCAATCAACATATTTGCAATTCCAATACGCGACACCCTCAGCCTGTCTTCTCCGTGCGTCAGGACAACCCAGGGGAGGGCCTCCCTGAAATGAGTTTGCAGGAACAAAAGAGGAGCATCCTCTGCACAAAACTGACCACCCTCCTTCATTTCACCAGACAGGAGCTTCCACCCGAATGGGGTATTGGGGCCTCTATTTTTTTTTATTATTTATTTAATTTTTTGGGGGAGGGGGGCTCTATTGTAACAGCTGCTGTCTATGGAGCCCTTACTGTGTGCCAGACACAGTGGCTGCAATGACAAACGTTTCCGAGCCACCTCTGTCCATCAGACACTGTTGTCAGCATCCTGGGTGGGTGAGCTCATTTGGTCCTTACAATAGCCTCGGAGACAGTACTGTTATCAGAATGAGCTCTGGACCTGGGAAGTGGCACGTTTTGACCATAACTTGCCGGTCTCTTAGGCTCAGTGATCTCATCTACAAAATGAGTTTACACAGGATGGTTCCAGCACCTTCTCCGAGCTCAGGCATCCCAGCATTCCCTCATTGTGTGCTGGGGGACAATAGCAAATAGGACTTGGTGCCAGGTGGTGACATGGGCTGAAGTCTTGTGGGCATGACTTCAGTGAGTAGGACCCCCTGGAATGCCATCAGCTGCTCCCCCGTGGAGTTTCCAGGGCAGCCACTCTCCATCTGGAGACGTCCCAGAGCTCGCCCTGCATTTTCAGTCTGGTTCCACGGCCTTGATCCAGTCACTCGGGTCTAAATCTCTGCAGAACAATCAGAGAGCCCTCCTAACCTCTAATGTTAACTTGCTGTCGGAATTTATGCGACTGCAAAAGGTGAAAGCAGAGCATTATGCCCATCAGAGAATAACCAGAGGGCACCTGGGTGGCTCAGTCAGTTCGGTGCCTGTCTTGGGCTCAGGTCTTGATCCTGGGGTCCTGGGTTCGAGCCCTCCATCATCTCTCTGCTCAGCGGGGAGCCTGCTTCTCCTTCTCCCTCTGCCTGCCACTCCCCCTCCTTGTGCCCTCTCTCTCTCTGTCAAATGAATGGATAAAATTAAAAAAAAAATAATAACCAGAGTATAAGAAAATGATTGAGCTGAGCGAGAACCTCCAAGAACTCACATTCTGTCCTCTGCATTCATTCAACATTTATTTTACAGCCACCAGAGACTGTGCTAGGCCCTGGGGAAGGTTCAGAGTAGTGATCCAATGACCTACAAATGTCTTCTCCTCCGGGACACCTTCCCTGCCCACAAGGTAGAGTGGCCCACTGTGACCCCGGGTACATTTGCAGGGCCACCAGAACATGGGGCAGGCTCTGCCTCTGGAAGAACCAACTGCAGAGTCCTCCTTCCCCCAGGTTGATGCAGCCTTGCAGAGGGCAACCTTGGGGGTTGAGCACTGGTTGCATTTCAGCCCTTGTATGCCCCTCAGTGCAACAACTTTGCACAGTGCGCAGCATGTACAACCCTGTCCAGCAGCCGTGTGTGTCAACTGGGGTAGCCTGATCAGACTGTATTATCATTCATACTTGGCTCTAAAAAACCTGCTTCACAGCAGAATATGCACAATTCCCTGCTTCACAGCAGAATATGCACAAGTCAGCCAAGCCTCTGACATTCTTTATGGAGTTATATTCCCCGGGGAGCTAAAATTATTCTAAAATCTCTCAGGTCTTTAATGCTTTTCCTTCCCTATTAAATACATGGTTGACCTCCTTGAGTGCATTAAGCGCCTCCCCAAGTTAAATATTTGCTGAGCTGCTCTGATCACAGGGCAGCGACGGCTGAGAGGTGGTAGGTCCTTGCCCCCTTGCCTTCCAACCCCCCTCCCGGCCCCCCCCCCCCACCACCGCCATGGCAGTCCCCAGAAGCACTGTCTCTTGAACACTGGGGACTGAAACCAAGTATTCAAAGTGCTTTGAAGCCACTAGAAAGGAAGGTGGAGCCCCTGCAGGAAAGCACTGTTTGCTAGCAGGCAGCGCCACCATGCGGTCGCCAAATGTGCACCTGTGTCAGGTGATGGTAGGAAGGCTGGAGTCAGACCGCTGCAGGTGTAGTGGGCATCCTGCTAGAGTCCAACGGGTGGGTTATCTACAGTTCACCCTACAAAAGTCAAGCCATAGCACTTGTTAGGCCGTCTCCCTTCCCCACTAGTCTGTGAACAGCTCACATATAAGGAGCGTTTTCCCCTCACTTTGCATCCCTGGATCCTTGCAAACGTGCCTGACACAGTCAACGAGCACGGGAAAATGAGTAACACAACAGGACCAGATCTGTGTCCGCAAGGAGAGCCCGGTCAGGTTTCCACCTTACAGATGATGAACTGAATCTCACAGAGAGAACATGATGTCCTGATTGTCATTACTTAATGCTGGTTGGTAGCAAAGCGGGGACAGAAACCCTTCGGGGACTCTCTCCTGCTAACCGCACGGCACTGTGGGACAAAGCTCCTGGTGGTTCTTATTTCCTGGGATCTCTGAAAGAATCCTCATCGTATTCCGCTGACTTCTCTCCCAGGAGGCTGTTCCAGTTGATGCTTCAGCCCCCAGCCTTTGGCCTCCCGCTATGATCGTGCTTCTCCTCCTGAGTATGCTGACGGCCTCGCGTGGTGGTGAGTGACGGTATTTTATGCTGTCTGGTTTGGTATATCATCACTATGAACACTGGGGACTGTTGGCAAACGTCATCTGATTTGCTTATTATTACTTTTATCCCCTTGCCTAGGAGTGATGGGAATCACACAGTAATGATAAGCTACGGGCTAGTTCAGCTGATGTTTTGAGCCCCCCCCCCACCCAGGGCACGAAGGGTGGATGGCATAGGCCATGAGGTGGAGGTCCAAGGACAGCTAAAGGCAGGTGGCCAGTCGGCAATCACGCCTCCACCTGAGAGTGCATGTCCTCTTCACTTTGCTCATGGATCACCGTCCCAGGTCTGGCTGGTTTCCTCCTAGCGAGCGTGTCAGCCTTCTTGACATGCAGCAGCTCCCTTTCCCCTGCGTAGGTGTGTCTGGTGTAGAGGCAAACACCTCCACCCCACGCTGTAGGGGCCCGCACCTGTAGGAGCCTGGAGACATCTGAGCAGGCTCCTTGGCAGCCGGGGTAGTTGTCTCAAGTTTGCAGAGTCGGGGCTTCGTATCTGAGACTTCTGGCTCCTTCCTCTTCCCTTTCCTGGTGCCACTCTCCAACACCCCAACTCGCGTCTTACCTTCCTACCACTGCCCAGACTCTGTAGCGACTGACACCACTCATTTATCCAGACATTTTCCCCTTCTCTCCTTCTGTTCACATCAACTTGGGACCAACACACTGAGCGCCCCTCTCTGTGCTGAACACGGGAGTGGGGTGAGCCACTGTGAATCCACCAGGATTACTGAAATTTATTGCGGCCATGACTTGAGTTAGCGGATTTACGGAGGTTTACATGGTCCCCGGAAGCTTGTGAGCAGAAATCACAGCACGTCACAGAAGACTCCAGACCTTCCCTGCAGGACAGAGTGGACACCCACTTCCAGGAGTTGTTGGGCTTCTATTGATTATTTAGTTCCTTCGTGGATGATTTTTTCCTCATTAAAACCATTTTGTCGTGACTTGGGTTCTCAGGGATAGCGCAGGTGGGACACCTTTACCTCGACTGTCTTGATCAGATGCCAACTATGGTCTCGACTTGCCTGCTCTTGGACGATAAGGCTGTGAAATAGCCTGCAGCTTTTCAATTTCTTCCCTACTCTTTAAAATGAGATCTTACCCGCCAAAACCTGTTCTTCTAATTTTTCAAACTTACTCTCTTCTCTGTCCTTCTTCTTTTCCAATGCATTGAATTTGCTTTTGACCAAAATGACCCCTTCAGCACCGCCCCCCAAACACCTTCTACACATCTCTTTAAATGTTTTATTTATGTATAAAATTTCTCTATAAAATTGTTATTCTAAACTGTCACAAGCATTTGTGCATCTGTCCTGGGAGGTTTTATTCTCAGATACAAACACCTAGAGTCCAAAAATTATCACCATAGAAAATTTAAGTGCAAACATGCATGTGTGTGTGGATTTATTTATTTATATTTATTTATTTATTTATTTATTTATTTATTTCTGTGTGTGTGGAGTTAAATGTACCTCACCTGCAGACTCAATGTCACAGGGGTGAGGGTATGACCACCACAGAGCTAACACTGCCCCCCCAACAAATTCACCAGCTCTTGATCCAGGCACTATAGGGGGAAAGGTCTGTTTCTAAGGCTTCTCTGCTTGCCTGCCTGGTCTCAAAGAGGTGCAAGTGGTGTCTTAGTCTGGGTCCTCTGAGAAATAGATGCTGGGACTGGAGATGTCATTAGAGGACACACATCTGGGGGGAAAAATGAGACAGCAACCAGGAAGGGGGAGAGACCAGATGTGTACCAGTGAAGGCAGGGCATCCTTGATCACTGCTGGGTCTGAGGAGCACTTGGCGAGGCCACCAGGGGGGAGTCCATCAGAAGAGCCCCATGTCCCCCAGGAAGTGGTCCACTGCAGTATACCTGCTGAGTCACTGGCTGGGAGCCAGTGCAAGCCCTGCCTTGGGCTTCAGAGCACCCTTACTTCTGTGCCCCCAGTGCTCTCTGACTCAGATTTCAAGGCAAGGCTTTGGGTGTGTGGACAATGTGGAGAGTCTCTGTGCCCTACCTGGCTCCTCTCTGGGGTGTTTCTTTGTCCTCATGCCAGGAGTAAGAGCGGCCTCTATCTTGCCTCCTCAGCACACCCAGGGCAGGTGCTCTTCTCGTCACTGACAGCTGGCTCTTGCAGGAGCTGGGCGGTGGGATGGTGGTCAGGTCTGTGTTAGGAGAGGGAGACACCCTTGGACCTTCGGTCTACACCACATGCTCCCTTTATCGGAGAGCTCTACACTGGCCCACATCACGCAGGGAAACTTGTTCTCACTCCCCATGGATCTCTGCATGTCCAACTTCTAGAACCTCTGGGAAAGGGGGCTGGGCCAAGGGGGGGGGTTGGTGCCTTCCTGGTTGATCTTCTGGGTAGAGTACTTGGTACTGGGAAATACCACTCATAGCCGCCGGTAGACCTCATCTTTCCACTATCTCAAGATGACGTCTCCCAGTTTCACTGAAATGTTACGAGGCTGGGGTTCTGTGCTTCTACTGGGCCATCACTCATTGGCTGATACACTGGCCGTTTGATGGCGAAGTTCAACCACTCTATGCTCTTTGTTCATCAAAGAGACATCTACTGCACCCTACTCAGTGGGTCAGCGTGCTTACCCTCAACACGTTTCTAGTTTAGAGGGGGAAAGGGTCACATAAACAGATCGTTGCCACACGAGGTCATAAGTGCAGTGAGAGAAGGATGTCCCAGCATGACAGGAGCCCCAGCAGATGCCCCTAACACCACCCAAGGTGGGGTCCCGGTAGGGCTTCTCGAACTCTGCACGGAATCCCAAAACGTGAGGGTCAGTAATGCAAAAAGGGGGCAGGCTCCCCAGGCTCAGGGCATGGCACAAGTAAAGCCAGGATGGCTAGAAGTAGTTTGGTGTCTGGGAAATGATAAGCATCCCAGAAGCATTAGGTTAGGTTCGAAGAGGGAGATGGTTTGGGAGAGCTTGGCAGGGGCAGAGAGAGGGAAGCCTTAGGTGCTGGGGCAGAAAAAGCTAGAGCTTCCCCCATGGGTCTCGGCTTCCTTATCCATAAAATGGCAATGGTAAGGATGTGCCGCGTGGTACTGGGCTCAGCCCTGGATATCAGGGGATGCCTGCAAGAGCAAGCCCGGAACGGTAGGAATGCTAGTTCCCTTCCCTTAGAGCAGTGCTCCTCCCGGGCCAGGGCTCCCCGTCCCCCCGGACCCTCCACCTCTGGACTCTGTGAACGAGCCAACTCAGACCTCTGGGATAAACAGTGTAAAAACCAGGGAGGCTTCTTTAGCTGCTAATGAGATGTGTGGGTGTCGACACCCTGATGTGAATAGGAGTGGGGGGCGCGGGGACACACACTTGTGCACTGCTTCTCCACCTGCCAGGGGGCCAAGGTGATACCAGGGAAGAGCCGATGGAGGACCAGGCAATATCTCCCCGCTGGTGCCCAAGTGGGCAGCAGACATTCTTAGCTGTGGGCTGGATGAGATAGCTCCGGAGGCGATGACACCAAATATGGAAAGTGCCAGAGCCATTATGCGGGCTCTGTGATGGGGCTCGCCTGGAGCCAATGGAGGACCTGGGTCTCCCCACCTTCGGGACATCTGCAGGGCACTTCCCCGTGCAGCCCATGGCTCTCAGGCAGGAGGGAACGTGCCTCGGTGGGCCCATCGCCCTGTGTTGAATAGTAAGCAATCGAAGGGCCAGAGGGGCTGCGCCTGCCCACGGCCCCGAGCACGTTGGCTGGGAGGGAGGCCCACGGGGAAGGGCTAGGGCCGTACACAGGAGGGCAGCCGCCCCCCCCCCTCCGACCCGTCCCTGGAGGGCCTGACAGAGGAGGCCGGGGCTTGTAGGGTGGGAGGCTCCCCTCCCACAGACAAGCACCTGCTAAAGTCATCAGTGTCCCTGAGATAAGTCCATGGTGAGCAGGAGGAGGCTGGTGAGGAGGTGAGGTCCAAGCAATGCAACCACGTGCTGGTGTGGAGGGGGAAGGGGGCAGGGAGAGGCACAAGTCGGTGATAATAGTAGTAATAATAACGATGCATGGCTGCCGTAACATTGGCGTGTCCACTGCACACCTGCCAGGGCCATTCATTCTACTATTCACATGCTTCTTTACCTGTAATATCAGATCTTTTATTTTTTTTTTAGGATTTTATTTATTTATTTGAGAGAGAGAGAGAGAGTGCATGAAAGAAAGAGAGACGGGGTGGGGCGGAGGGAGTATGAGCAGAGGGAGAGAGAGCAAGAAGGAGAAGCAGATGCCCTACTGAGCAGGGAGTCTGACAAGGGCCTTGATCCCAAGATCCTGGGACCAAGACCCAAAGATGAGGCAGATGCTTAACTAACCAGGGGCCCCCATCTGTCAGAATTGCATGTTCAAGTTCATCTAATATCACACCATCCTCAGCCCGACCCTCCTGATTCCCTGCAGACGCCCTACTTCGTAATGAGCATTCAGGGCCCCTGGGGACGGAGCCCAGCCAGTGACCAAGGCTGGGGCAGGACCAGGTCCCACTGACTCCTTGCTGGAATATCTCCTGAAGTTCAAACCTTGCGTCCTCTCCCCGTGTCTCCACTGAGGATAGATGCAGGGTCGGGGGCTGCGTCTCAGCGCGTGGATCCCCAGGAGCCACTGGCTATTTTGCTTGCTGACGGTGTGGGAAAGCCCTGTCCTTGACTCCAGGCTCCCGGGGACCTGGGGGCCTTTCCTTGCCCGCACTTATTTCCACCAATCTTTCATCGCAAGGCACTCCAAACAAACATGCGATCTAAAATTAAAGTCCCCAAACCTCTCTATCCTCCACCAGAAGGCTACTCTTTAAAACACTGGCGCCACCTTATTGTCATCAGAGACCCGGCATGTGGCAGGTCCTAGAAAAATACACGTGGAATTGAATTTACCTACGTCCCCTCACCTCCTGGCTGCTGCTCCTGCTAACCCTGCTCTCCTCCTCGATTATAGGGGCCCACCCTCTGGACACCCCACACCTTCCACGGGATCTGCCTCCAGGACTCTCAAAAAATATCAGTAAGGATCCTTTGAACTTCCCTTGGGCGACCTAGCCGGGTAGAGAGTTGTCTAGGATATTGGCAGGGAGGATGACCCCTTCGAAATATACTGCTCACTGCTGTGGCTCTTGTAGGCAGAGTGATTCAAATAAGACTCGAAAGCCCTCCCCCTCCACAGTCTCCCCTGTGTCTAACCCCACCCCCCCACCCCCGCAAGTGACAAAGTATTATGACTTCCATCAAAACACAAAGGGCAGCTGAAAGAGGGATAGAAGTAAATGGGCTGATTGTGAGGGTTATATGGTCAGGGTTTTTTAGCTTCAAATTGAGCGTGGAGCCTCCTAGAAGGCAAGGCGAAAAGAGAAAGACAATGCATTCCAGTGCTCTGCTTATAAGAGAGGAGGACCCATAATTGTTCCCTTGGGAAGGAGACGTTTTCCTGGTGATAGACCGTAAAGATTTCTCAAGCAGCTTCCTGTCTGGGTACTGCTGAAGAACACGATGCACAGCGACCCAGCTGGTCACCTAAGCCCCGAAATTAGGGTTCATCTCCCCACTTGCAGAGAGGTGACCTGAGTCAACCAAGTTGTCTGTGCTTGAGTCCATGCAAGCAAAGTGATCAGTCCCACCCAGACCCAAATGACCGTCTGACCTCCCTCGCAATGCCATAACCCCCATGGGAAGTGCGATTCGTGGCCCAAGGAGAACTTCTGGTGGATGCTAAGACTCATAGGCCACACATGGCACTTGGAAGGATCAAGGCCAGGAAGCCCCATGTGCCATCAGGCCATGCCAGCCGTACCTCCCCAACGAGTGTGGCCCCGGTGTGATCTGCACATCTGCCTGGAGCCCCCAGGTAGCAACTCTGGGACAAGGGGGTGGGGCTCACATGAAGCAGCCCCAGGACCTGCCCTGGACTAGAAGCTTTAGTCTCTATTGGAATTACTACCTCTAGCAACAATTTCATAGTTATAATCTCTGGGATGCCCAGAAAAGGCATGCTTCCGCTGCAAGAGGTGTCACCCTGAGGGAAGCCCCCAGGGGATGACTTCCCGCCAGGTATTTACAGTTCAGCCGTGGTCCCTGCCAAGTCCAGACACACCTTACCATCCAGGGTGTTCTGTACCACCGAGCAATGTTGCTTGGTAACAGAGCTCCTGGCTCATCTTATCGGGTCTCCATGGTAACCTGTGTTCCTAGAAAGTTAGCCCAAAGTCAAATCTATCCTTAGAGGAAGAGAAAGGGTTTTCCTTGCTCTTCACAGGGGTGGGGCAGGGCCAGGCAGCAGGGCAGGGAAAGGGGAGAAACCAACAGCTCTCTGACTTGTTTTCTCTGCCTTCCACTTAGATATCACAGCCTTCCACGGGGTGTTTAAAAATGTGGAAAATGTGGCTGACATTTTTGGTAAGTTAAATACCAAAACCAAAGCACTTCCATCCACCAGGTGTCAGGGCATGGGGTGAGTGTGGGAAATCCAAGCAGATTACCAGGACCTCGGGCTCTGTTCTCTGGGCTCCACGCTCCTGCCAACCCAGCAAGCTCTGAGCTCTGCGATCCAGGTCCAACAAGAGCCATGGTGTCTTTTATTGCAGGGTGAGTCACCGAGTGGCCAGGTGCCTTCCTAGTCCTTATTTCCTTAGCCCTGACCGCACCACAACCTGGCTGGGAAGAGAAAGCACCCCCGTTGCACAGGAGAGGAAGTGACAGGAATTACGTGCCATGCCCAGGTCACAAGGCAGAAGCACCCTCTGTGTCCAGAGCTTAGCCTCCAACACCAAAGTTGTTGGATTTTCTCTCCCCAACCAGTAAATGCATATGATGAAATATAATAAAGCCTAAGAATTCCAAACAGTGCCAAGTATTCCACTTACCAGTTACATATCTATCATGTGACTATCAACTGCCGGGCACCTTTATGGTCCATAGCTTTCTAAAAGTAGCCCCCAAATGAGACTATCATAGGACTGACAGGAGCAAGGAGCTCTGAGATGCTATTGGATTAGACCGTGCTGCCCAGAGAACAGCACTGAAGGCAGGTATGCGCCTAAGCTCAGGTGCTTGGTAAGTTTTTGAGTGAACATGCATATTTATATAAACACACACACACACAAACCTTAGAGTCGGTTTTTCCTTCAGTACAGAATTATGTCTTCATTTTTCTGGTTAGGCTTTGTGGAAACAAGACACGGGAAAGGAGGTTTGAATGGGGCAGGAAAAACTAGAACAGTCTGAGTCCTCACAGACCACTCCACGACCTTCCCAAGCTCCCCGACGTGTGACCCTCTGCATTAGAATCAGGGTTTGGGGGTCACCCCGTTAGCACTTAATGGTCCTCCAGTCAGAAAGGCTGAGAAGAGGGAACTGGAAATTGTTCTCTTGCCACTTTTGTTCACAAGAGCGTTCTTGTGTAGGTAGGGTAAATCGTTGCCCCTGGTTGGTACCTCGGGCATATCTCTGACCTTCAGTTTCTTTATCTGCGAAATACAAGTCACAGAATAGCATCAGCCTTGCAGGACGAACATGAAGTTTATGGGGTGATGGACCAAGTGAATGCTTTCTAGACTCACTATGACTCTAAACCATTGTGCTGTTTGAAGCATGCGGCACAGTTTGTGGCACATAGTAGGGTCCCCAAATTATTAGTGTCTGTATCCCTTCTCTTCCCCCTGGATTACAGTTCTCCAGGGCTGGGGACTCTATCATTTGGGGTCCATTCAGCAGACTCATAGGGACTTAAATAACAGAGACATTTAATTATGTCACAGATGCTGAAAGCATCAGGGTTGCTGCAGTAGCTCAACACGGGTATCAGAGGCCCAGCGGGCTCATTCCTCCTCTGCTGCTATAACTAAGCCTACTGGCTTTTCAACTTTAGACATGGGCCTCATGGGGCCAAAGTGGTTGCTGTAGTCCCAGCCAGCACATCCTTACCCATATTCAAGGAAGGAGGAAGATGTAGATCAAAAGGACCTCTTATATGCCTTTGATTTGTATTATGAAAGAAATAATTCCCAAAAGCCTCTAAATGACTTCCCCTTAAGCTGTTTTGGCTGGATCTGGGTCACATGCTCAGCCCCAGGTCACTCACTGTCACGGAAGCTGGGATTAGCACGACCAACTGAGAATGAGCAAGTGTCAAACATCCCCAGGGACTTAGGGATGAGGCTTAGCTTCCCTGAGTCCTTTTCAGCTTTGTTGGTGAGGGAGGAGGATTTAAATGACCGTTTGTCAGGGGGACAACCAACAGGGACCACAGCTTATAAACCCGCCTCCCTGCAATTGTCTGGAACAGTTGCGAGTACACAGTAGGGGCTCAGTAGGCTGCTGAGGTGTGGGGAGCCCCGGGCCCAGGGCCTCCTTCCCCGACCCTGGTTCCCAGTCCCTGCACGGCTGTCCCCTCCCGCTGTGCCATCCTGCAGACTGCCTGGGCTCCCACTTCACCTGGCTGCAGGCTGTCTTCACCAATTTCCCCACGCTGCTCCAGTTTGTGACTGGCATGAAGTGTGTGGCTGGTCTTTGCCCCCGGGACTTCGAAGACTACGGCTGTGCCTGCAGGTTCGAGATGGAGGGGGCCCCCGTGGATGAGGCTGACAGGTGAGCCACAGCTGGGGGGGCGGGCAGCTGTCGGAGGCCTGGCTGCTGCTTGGACAGAGCACAGATGTGGAAAGCTGCCAGGACGTGTCTTGATTCTCCTGACCTGCAGGGCAACAGGTAGCCTCAGCCTTAAATTGCAGCATATTCTGTGATCGCCCCACGTCCTGGGGGTTGTCGAGAGCCTGGGTATGTCTGATATGCAAAGCTGCAGCGTGGTATTTCTCGAAGTTGGGCCCGCTGGTATCAGAACTACCTGAATGCTTGCTTAAATGCAGATTCCAGGGACCCATCCCAGACCTACTGACTCGGAATACCTTTAGCTAGACCCTGGAAGTCCAAATTTTAGATGAGCTCCCAGGTGACCCGTAAGCACAAGAGAATTATTCATTTTTCAGACCGTCCTGGCCACCAGGGGTAAAGCAACTCTGAAGGCATCTGTTTAATTTTCCACAAACATGCACCAATAGCATTTGAACTCTGGGCTTAATATAAGCAGAATGCTATCCCTGCTTCGAAGAGGTAAACAGCTAGTGGGGAATGTGGAGTAGGTACGAGGGGCCGGTAAAGATGTGTGCCCCCCCTGCACACAGGGGAGGAAAGGAACACGAGATACCCACCTTCGCACAGGAGATGGGCGACACAATTGAAAACCTGAGATGCATCGAGCGGTATCAAGGATCTGCCTAAGAGATACTGGCAGCGGGGAGGGTCAGCTGGGAAAATTTGGTAGAAGCTGCACATTTCGGTGATACCTTCTTCATAGAATTATCATTTAAGATTAAGTGAGGAGCAAGGACACCGTACTGTGACTGGGACTCGGTCCGGTTTATTGAGTTTACTTACTGAGAGTACTGGTGATCGGTAGCAGCAGTGACAGGAAGAGTAGGGCTATAGCGGTAGTGGTGACAGTGGGAGTCGCCGTCGTGGCGGCAGTCACAGTAGAGCTATCGTCGTTATCATCGTCGTAATAGTAGTAACAATAGAGGTAGTAACAGTTGTCATAGTAGCCGTCAGAGTATTAATACCAAGGGTAGTAGTAATAGCAGTAATAGTGATGTCAGCAGCAGTGTCAGTAGCGATATTAGCAATGCTGTAGAAGAAATAGTAGCAATGGCCACAGTAACACTTGCAGTAGGTGTAGTAGTATGAACACTAATGCAGCAATGGTCGTAACAGCCACAGCAGCAGCAGTATTAGCAGCAATAGTAGCAGTGTTAGTAATGCCGTGGAAGTAATAGTAGCCACGGCCGTGGCAACAGTTGTCACGGTAGCTGTAGTAGCATGAATAGTACCAGTGGTAGTAACAGCCACAGCAGCAGGAGCGCGGGCAGCTGTAGCAGCAATACTAGCAGAGCTGTAGGACTAGTACTGCTCATAGTACTGCTACTAGCACTGTACTAGTGGTAGTAGTGACAGTCATCGCAGCCATAGTGACGGCAGCAGCAGCAGTAGTAGTGGGAAAGCGGGGAATTGAACCTGCATCTCCCTGTGCCCTGGAATCCATCCCTACCTCACTGACCCCCAGAGTCCCTACCTCACTGGTCTGATACCTGTGCCCGGAGCAGTGTGATGGAGGGTGCGCTCTCATCGAAGCGGAAAAAGACTCCCCTTTGGAATAGCTCGGATGGCCTGGACGTTTCTCCATTAGGACACCTTGCCCCCAAGGCACCAGGTCAACCTCCCTGCTCCCCAAACACCTGCACTCCCCTGTCCTGCACCTGCCACATGGGCCAGTGGGTGCACACGGTATCCGCCCCATGCGCTCAAGGGGGGTGGGTCTGCACTGTGTTATTTCTTTGCACCCCCAGCGTGGGCCACAGCACTGGGCACATAGTAGGAACTCAGCAAATTAACTGACTGACTAGATAGTCCGCCTCCAACTGTTTTTCAAGTTAATTAGTTAATTAATTAAATAAAAAGCAATAGATCCTTGGTGGATCAGGAATAATGGCTCTGGCATCAAGCAATAGACCTCTCCCATTTCCACATCTCCACGAGAGGGTGTGAGTTGCCTCTGATCACAAGGGCGTTTTCCTACCTTTGGGATCATGAGCAAACTGCCTCCCGGGGTCAGCTTGGTGACGTCCAAAAAGAGAAAGGATGAACCTGAATGCAGCAGATGTGTTCTTAAATCTGCCAAAATTCTTGAGTAGGTAGTTTGAGAAACTTAGTAACTTGCCCAAGGCCATCATCTGCCTGTATATTTTTTTATTCTTTACCTCGGTCTCCACTGACCACCTGCGTGCACTGCAAAAGCTTCCTGATTCCCATGTTAGTGTCAGCCTCGCTCTGTGATCGACTTTGACCTTGGCAAGTTCCTGAACCCTATGTGTCTCAATCCCCACGTGTGTAAAGGCTCATAATGATAATAGCCATCTGCTGTGTAGGTAATAGAACTCAAATAGTGTGTGTGTGTGCATGTGTATGTGAGAGAGAGCACTATTTGAAACAGGTCACTGCCAGGGATCATCCAGAGACGCAACAGTTCCCCTCTCTTCACCCTCCCCCATGCTCTCACCTTGACCTCCCCCCACCTGCCCCAGCTGCTGCTTCCAGCACCGAAGATGCTACGAGGAGGCCACTGAGAAGGACTGTCCCCAAGACCCAGCCAAGCTCAGCATAGATGTCAACTGTGTCAGCAAGAGCATCACGTGTGGTGAGCATCCCCAGGTGTCCCCGGGGGCTGGGCTGAGAAATAGCAATGACAGTTCAGGAATCCCAGGCCTGGACCAGACCCAGGGCTCCCAGGGGTCCCCCTCATCGTCACCACCACTGAGGACATTATCAGCTATGCTCCGAACCCCACAAGGGCTAGATCTGTGGCATCTGTACTTTGCATGGAGTAGATGCACAATAAATGCTTTTTGAAATGAAAGAATATTTGATTGGCAGGTTATTTGATTTACAATTTTATACTGTAGCAATCCTGGGAGCTTGTGGGGGCAGATGGCTTGCTACTGACCCGTTGTGTGGTTGGAAGGCAGCTAATCCACATGTCGGAACCTCTACATGGGGAAGAGAAAACCTGCTTCAGAGATTTGTAAAAAATAAAAAAATAAATAAATGCTTCAGGGATGCCTGGGTGGCTCAGTGGTTTAGTGCCTGCCTTTAGCCAGGTTCCTGGAGACCTGGGGTCGAGTCCCACACTGGGCTCCCTGCAGGGAGCCTGCTTCTCCCTCTGCCTATATCTCTGCCTCTATTTCTCTCTGTGTTTCTCATGAATAAGTAAAATCTTAAAAAAAATAAATTCTTCAGTGTAAAACAGTGGTGCATTTGTTACATGTAAACATGGCTAAATGTAAAACAGTTAACACAGGGACTGGCCTAAGTCAAGAAGTCAGTGTTGGAAGTGGAAGAGAGGCAGGGAGGGATGAATTAGGTTTGGGGTTGCTGCTGTTTGTAAGAATCAGACATGTGTCAATGCAGATCTCAGCTCTCCACCCTACTCACCGTGTGACTCCAGGGATTTTATTTCGTGTCTTTGGGCAACCCTGATGCAAGAATTAGAATAGGCAAAGGCACAGAGGGAAGAGGTACATGGCACCTTGGGGTGCTCGGTTTGAGCCTCCCTCTATGAGCACCTATTATGTACCAAAGGCTTTATGGCCAGCAGATGCAATCATCCCGACAATCTTTGGTTTTTAAGATTTTATTTATTGATTCATGAGAAACCTAGAGAGAGAGGCAGAGACACAGGCAGAGGGAGAAGCAGGTTCCATACAGGGAGCCCGATGTGGGACTCAATCCCAGGACCCCGGGATCATGACCTGAGCCGAGGACAGATGCTCAACTACTGAGCCACTCAGGTGCCTCTTTCCCAACCATCTTATGAGATATTCTCAGTTTTCAGAGAAGGCAGGAAAGCTCAAATTAAATAACTTGCCCAAAGTCATATAAGCTGCTAAGTGATAGAGTCAGGATTTGAGCCCAGGTTTCAACTAACCCCAAAGTCCAGGTAGCAAGGACTGGCTGCAGTGTGGTGCATGGGGAGAGGAGTAAGGAGAGGCATGGGCATAAGTCACTACACAGTGAACATGGAAAACATCCAACCATCCATCCATCCATCCATCCATCCATCCATCCATCATCCATCCATTCATTCACCAGATGCATACTGAGCACCTAGTGCAAAGCAATCGTCCAGATGTTGGGGATATTTTGACCTTCTGAAATCTCCTCATGGGCACCAGACCTTGAAAATATCAAAGTGCCAGAGTGTGTTAGGCAGTGGCCAGAGCCGTGGAGGGAAATGAACCAGGGGCAAGGCCCAGGGAGGGCTGACTGGGAGGAGACGCCCATGGAGCAAAGACTGAGGTGTTGGGGGCAGAGAAAGAAGCCGCTCATGGCTGTCTGGGAGGTGGGTTCACCCCCAGGCTCGAGGGGCCCCGCATGCAGGGGAGGCAGACCAGTCAGTCAGAAAGGGGGTGATAGAGAGGAAAGAGACGAGCTCTGAGAAGGAATAGGGCAGCAGCTTTGATGTTGATTGGGAAGTCGTCGGAGGGTTCTGAATCCCCCTGAAAGACATGGCTCGCCCTGAGTCTTGAAAGCCTTGTTCTGGCTCCTCGATGACAGTAGATAGGGAAGCAGGGGGAGGAGGCCAGGGACATAACCCAGGCAGAGCTGAGGGGGGGGCTCAGTGTAGGGTAGGGGCGTGGAGGTGGGGACATGTGGTCATGCTCTAAAGGGTCAAAAGTTAAAAGTCGAGCCAATAGGATGGCCCAACTGGTTGGGTGTGAGTGTGAGAGGTGGGTGGCCATGCCTCCCAGGTTGGGCCTATGCAGCCGAAGCTCACGGAGCCGATGTGGACAATAGGACACCTGCAGGAGGAGCAGGGCCTCGGCAGGCAGATCGGGGTCAGGAGCTTGCATTACCCTGGGATTCCAAATGAGATTTTCCAATCTGCTCTGCCCTTGCTCTGTGCAGAGTCCGGAGACCCTTGTGAGCACCTGCTGTGTACCTGCAACAAGGCTGCCATAGATTGCTTGGCTCGGTCCAGTATCAACTCTTCCCTGAACCATCTGGACACTTCGTTCTGTCTGGCTCAGCCTCCAGGTGGGAGCACCCGCAGTGGGGCTGACGGTCGGGGCCAGGAGCTGCTATGGGAGCAGTAGCGGTGGTGTATCTTCAGATGCAAGTCCAACACCTTCTGATGCTCCCCAAACCCGCTGCTCTCAACTAACTTTCCAATGTGTTTCTTTGCAGAGACAGCTAGCACGGAAGAGCTGACAACGCTTCTACCCAGAGGTAAGGCCTTCTAGGGAAGCTGCTTTTCTTTGGATCCCAAGGGCCAAACTACGGATGGAGCCGGTAGCCACACGCCCTCCCCTGGGCCTGCAGGAGTAACCCATGGCACTGGAGATGTCCCCACCTTTCCCTGGCCAGGGGATGCCATTACTTCTCATAGACCCAGTTCAAACATCCAGCAGCAGATGCCCCTCAGGCAGACGTTCTTTGCCACATGGACAGGTGTGTGCTGAATCCAGTCGAGAGGCAGACCCCAGTTCCTTCTCACTTGCTCTTCAGTGAGGGCCCTGGTGTGTGGTGTGACCGGGACAAAGCCTAACTCTCTGACAGAGAAAGGCCTGTCTTGGCTGGGTGAGCTCCTGGCCACTGAGGCCACCCGTGAGCCAACCAGCTGGCTCCCTCCTCTGCCTTCCAGAACCTTCAGCAGAAAGGGCAGCCTGGACCCAGATGGTGGCTTCTCAGAGGGCAGGATCTTTTCTGTGTGCCTCCTTTTGAGACAGGGTGGGCTCTTAATGCCTGTCAACTGAAAGAAGCAAATGAGAATTCCTACCCTAAAACACGCATTCTATGCAAAAAGCGAGGGTTCAGCTTCTGTCTGTCGTTCCTTGTCACGAAAGTTCGCACGATCTCTCAGACCCAACGGGAAGTTGTAGGTGCCCTTTGGCAGAGCACCCCCCCTTTCCTGGGGCTGGGGTCTCCTCCCCAGTGCTGTGGCATTGGTTAAAGGAGCATGTTGCACAGGTGTAGGTTGGTGCACGTGTTCGTACATGCGTGAGTATGAGTGTGTATATGTGCGCCTTCTACCTCTATGTATCTTCTGAGTCCAGAGCTCGTTTTTCTTGTCATCGGCCTCCCTTTGGAACAGAGGTATTCCCAAGAAAGATTGCCATATTGCAGAGCCACAAGCCTTTGGGGCCTGTGGGGCTTTCATTGCCCAGCCTGGGTCTGCAGGTGTCACCTTCCTGGTCAGAACCCAGCGTGGGCTGGAGTCTTTCCTGAGCCAGGGCCTTGCTGGGCACCCCATGCCCTGGGAGATGCATGAGAGGCAGGGGAAGCCTGGGATAGAACGAACAGCCCTTGGCTGCCAACACCTCTCACAGCCCCCTCCTCCTGTGCTCCAGCAGTCCCAGACTGCTGGGTCCCTTTGAGACCCGTAGCATGTGGTATAGTCACTGTGTTCCATCAGACACTGATTTGGGGACTTTGTTTTTCAGTGGTTCCCACGGAGCCCACAGATACCAGTGCAAAGGCCCTTTCAGGAGAAGGTGAGCACAAGGAGACTGATGCATAAACCAAGTACCCACGTTTTGATCGTACCATCTACTTACTTGCTGCAATTAGCTCCGCTAAAATGCCCCCTTCCTGGGTTTGCACTGATACCACCTCGAGATCATTCCAGAGCCACTCTCAGTTTCTCCTGACTCCTAAAGCTCTTCTCTACGTACTCTGCTTTCTCCCACACCCTTATTTCCACCTCAGTAGAACTGTCAGATGCAGGACCTTCACCCTCAACCATCTGACGTTGAATTTCAGATGAACAGCAAATACTTTTTAAGTATAAGTATGTCCCAGAATTGGTGTGGGCTATACCTATACCGAAAAGTGATCGGTTGTTCATGTGAAATCTAAATTTAACTGGGCATCCTGTATTTTTATTTGCCAAGTTTGGCAACCCTGCACAACCACCTCCCCGGAAGTTTGTGTATATCTGTCCTTTGCTGCTGCTGCTGCTATGAGAACAGAAGCAGATGCTCACGGTGCAGCTCATCTCTGGCTGTCCTCCATGTCCAAGGGCATCGCATCCCCGACAGCTCACAGTCAGCCTGTGTCTTGTGTTCCAGGTCTAGAAAAAGAAGAAGTGGCACCTATGCCAAGCCAAAACTTCACCATGTGCCCTGCCCGCACAGCAACAATTCCCACATGATTGACAGTGGCCACTTTCATTCTCAACTGAGGACGTGCCCACAAGACAATAACAAAATAACCCTACGTTGGCACATTTTCCACTCTCTTCAGCCTGAACCATCATCATTTTGTGGCTTGGCCATGGGAACGGGGCAAAGAATAAGCTTCTTAAGGAATCTAGTCTAACTGGAGAAAGAAAGTGTGTACACTCACACATTTGTCCTCCAACACACACGTACCCACACCCATGACCCAACAGTGCCCACAAACGTCCACCAGAAAGGGAGGCAGCCTGAAGGTAGGACAAACACAAATTATGAAAGAAAAAGGTATAGGGCTCGTGATTGTTCTCACCATCATGGAATGAAACGATGATGCTTTGAAATCAGGCAGCTTCAGGATGGAAGCCAGACTCCTCCGTGTTTCAGTTGGAGGACTCTGGAAGCATGGCTCGACCTCTCGAAGCTTCAATTTCTTCATTTCGGAAAGCAGGGATTGGCAATTTTTTTTCTATAAAAAGCCAAAGAATAAATATTTTAGGCTTTCTGGATCATACAGTCTCTGTCACAATGACCCAAGTCTGCCATCGTAGCAGGACAACAGCCAGAGACTGGGTGGGTGTGCCTGTGTTCAAGTGAAACATTATTTACAAAAAACAGGCCGAGGGCTGGGCCATGGTTTACCAGCCCCTGGATGGTTATGCCTGTCCTTCAGGGTGGCAGGGGATTAAAGGAGAAGAGCATGGGAAGACTCTGAACCAACATCGTCTTCAGAAATTCTGGTGTGGCTGTAAAAAAATAGCAGTGCCCTCTTAAGCCACATGTTGGACACTGGACAACTTGCTTAAAATACATGATCTCATTTCTTGCTCACACAAGGCTGTGAAATCATTGCCATAACCTCCGCATTGAGATGGTAGATTGAGTTGGAGAGAGAAATTGTCCAAGATTGGGAGCCGGCTGGCAAGGCGTCCATGGCATTTGCCTTTACCGCTAGACTGAACTTACTCTTACGCTGCGATGCCCCAAGGACCCACTCTAGCAGGGGACATAATGGCCCTTCCTCCCAAAGAGAGGTCGCACTACCTAAACACAGGCCTGATGCTAATCTGGCCCCTTGTCCCCTGAATGGGGAACCAGTGTCAGTGACACTGACCATGTGTCAATGTTCCTGATCAGACCACCATGGACTTTCTCTCCTGGGTCTCCCAGCCCCAAAACTGTCTTGATCACAGGTGACCCCTGCCTGGCTTATGTGCTGAGATGGGTGGGTAATTGAGGTTGAGTGGTTTCTTTCCGCAGTTGCTATTGAGACCACAGCTGACCCACCGACCAGTCCCTCCAGGACAAGTAAGCCAAGGAGACGTGACAGGAGGGCAGCATGGGATCCAGTGGAGACACACCTTCTACATAAACACGTTCAGTTCTGATGATTGCTCTTGGACAGGGCTCAGAAGATAACAGGTTACCCATTTTTCAGATGATGTAGGACACCCAGGCTCTGGGAGGTGAAAAGTTACAGGTGGTTCAGCACGAGATCTGCTGGACTGGTTTTAGAACCCGGCCTCAGGCTGCAAGATTCATTTTGTCCCCATGATATGGTAGTGACTCGTGGGGAACAGCCTCGTACCCAAAAATGTACGTAGGCCAGGCTGTCATCGGAAGAAGTGACCTAGCCATTTACTTTGCTTGTGGTGATTAAGAACCATGGATTCTTTATTAATGCGTATTAATCACTCATAATAACCATTTACCAGTTACTAAGGATGAACAATAAACAAACGGATTCCTTGATGAACAGGCAGGGACACCACAGAGGACCTCAGTGTGCTGGCATGTTCCTGAGCCCCTCCATATATCCTCTGAGATGCCCCCCTGGTCCTAGGAGGCCCATTTGGCAGATGAAGGACGCACTCCAAGAGGCAGTCGTTTGCCTGGGGTTACAACCCCAGCATAGGATTCTGTTCTGAACCTGCGCATTTCACTTTGAAGAGAACCATCTGCCCGGCTTAGAACCTTTGAGGTTCTGGCTCTTTGCTGGATCACGTTTTGTGAGTTCACCTCATTAGTAAACTTGTAAGCCCGACTTCCACATAACAGCATCGTGATCTTGATCTTTGACCCATTGAGGTTAAGGTAGTTCCTTCCTTCCCCAAGCGTGGTGGGAGTTAGCATTGCTCCTCTCCATGGTACAGCCTGAAGTGAAGCAGCAGTGAGCTCAGAGGTTAGGGCAGCCAGCTTTGGGCCCGGACTTGCATTGCCGCTTCCTAGCTCCATGACCTAGGGCCAGTGACCTGTGTTTTCGGTGCATCCACTTGCTTTCTCATCTCTGAATGAGGGCGAGCATGGTATTAACTTGTGGGCTTGCGGTGGCACAAGCCAAGCACTTAATCTTGTATCTGGGCATGTCGTACGTCTTCGTCCGTTCTGGCTGCTACAACAACATATCACAGACTGGGTCGCCTGTGAACAACAGAATTCATCTCTCGTGATTCTAAAGGCTGGAAGTCCAAGCTCAAGACACCAACATGGTCAAGTTGGCTGAGGTCCACTTCCTGGTTCATAGACAGCTGCCTTCTAGCTGTGTTCCCACATGGTGGAAGGAGCCAGGGGGCTCCTTGGGGGGTCTTTCATAAGGGCACTAATTCCATTCATGAAGGCTCCACCCTCATGACCTAATCACCCCCAAAAGCCCCAAGACCATCCCACTGGGGATTAGGTTTCAACACATGAATTTGGGGTTCAGACCAAATGTAGACATTTGGTCTACAGCACAATAGGTTCAGACAGATGTTCAGTCTACAGCACAACATTATTATAATGTTAATAATAATTAAACAGCCACAAACTCATTTTACTGAGAACCAGGGTTCAGAAGTCTTCTGAGAGCCAAGGCACTAGAATCCACAATTTTGCCTTGGTTTTCTTTGTTCAAAAATATGTGATTTGGAGAGAGAGAGAGAGAGACAGATCTGCTTTCCTAAAGTATTTCAAAGATACACCTGCTTCTAGCCCAGCAGGCTGCAGCTGCCTTTGCCGGTGCGTCTGTCTGGGAAGGGCAATCTTTTTGAATTGGCAGTGACCCCGTCATCACCATCTCCCCCGGGAGGCAACAAGGGTCAGAGCAATGACCATGTTGCCTCCTGTGCCTGTGGGATAGGAACTGCTCCCAGATATCGAGGTGGGACAAGCTGGAGTCAACACTCACTGCATCTCTCTTCTTTTGTGGGCAGAAGCAGGTCAAGATGAAAAAGGCACAGAAGCCGCGAGGTCCGCATCCCCTCCAGGTAAGCACACCTGGCTTCTCCCACCTGTGAATAATGGTTGTCCCTAAACGGGTATGAGATCAGGTTTGTTCTAAAACATGGAGAATCAGGGATGCCTGGGTGGCTCAGCGGTTGAGCGTCTGCATTTGGCTCAGGGTGTGATCCCAGGAGTCCCGGGAACAAGCCCCACATCGGGATCCTGGCATGGCGCCTGCTTCTCCCTCTGCCTGTGTCTCTGCCTCTCTCTGTGTCTCTCATGAATAAATAAATAATATTTATATAAAAAATAATAAAAATTAAAAAATAAAACATGGAAGAATCATTGGGACCAATTCACTTTTATACCACCCCCTCCAAAGTAGACAAATGAAATTAAAAGGTGGATTCATTAGTAGGAAGAAATGGAAGCCTATCTGATAAAGAGATGCATTTAGAAAAATATAGAAAACTGTGTTTTCTTTTCTATTTAAACCACTCATACTTCCGTGTTATAAAGTTAGCCGCTTTTAATATCTGAAGGTGCTTCCTTCTAATGTCTCCCACCTGCACAAGCATATCCATGAATATAATTAAAATGAATTTGAAATCACTTGGCACCACGGCTTTGCGGTCTGAGCTGTATCACTCAAAAAATAAGATGATATTCCCCTGACATGAAATATCTTTCCACACAGGGTTTTTAGGGGCTGTACCATAGTTTCTGGTGTGGAATATGTGGAATGCCATAATACATTTAGCCAGTTATTTCTAACATTTGTTCTTATAAATAATAGACATTTCATACCCTTCCACTTCTGATTAATTTGTCACAGCAAATGCCTAGAAGTTGAATTACTGCACAGGGGGCACATTCATTGTATGTACCCATACAATATGTATGTATCCATATGTGGCCTAACTGCCCTAGAGAAAAATTGAAACAACTTACCCTCATATACATATCCCATGGGTGATACTGCATACTGCTATTTAAGAGCAAGCCAACAGGGCCCTTGGGTGGCTCAGTCAATTAAGCATCTGCTTTAGGCTCAGGTCATGATCCCAGGGTCCTGGGATTGAGCCCCACATTGGGCTTCTTGCTCAGTGGACAGTCTGCTTCTCCCTCTCCCTCTTCCTCATGCTCCCCTGTTTGTGTTCTCTGTCAAATCAATAAATAAAATCTTAAAGACTTAAAATCTTAGAGACCGAGGGGATGATGCTATGAAAGCCCTCCTCCCAAGCCCCAGGGAACAGAGCATTGAGCAGAGACCCAGAAGCCCAGATGCATGACACAAACCAATATGGTAGGTTTGGGAAGAGACTGCCAGTCAAGAGGCCTCCCAAGATGCCCAGGCCTGCCCCAGTGCTCTGGGTCTGCAAGATGGCAGAGCAGAGCCTACAAAGCTCCCTCTGGCTGGACCAGACTGGGCTGGAGATGTCGCTGCCTCTGGCCAAGAGAACAGAGACAGCCGATGCACAGCAAAGGGAGACATGGACCGACCGCACCAGGGAGCCTGTGTGTGGGAGGCAGGGCCAGATCACCCGCCTCAATGAGGACCTGGCACTTCATTCAGACTATGATGAGAAGGTCTTCCAGGATTCTGGGGAGTTGAGGCGGTTGTACTTGCCTCCATTACTAAGTGCCGGGAGTTGGCTTCATTTCTCTACCAGTCTTATCCCTTCATCCGTGAACACCATGCTAGGCCTCCACTTGGCGGGCACATGGTAGGACACATGACGTACACAGAGGCCTGGCGGGCTCGGACAGTGCCCGTCGAGAGATGTCATGCAGCTGGTCTAGCCTGGGCTCCTGTCCAATTTAAGTTTATCATGGAGTATTTGTGTGGGGTTTTTTCATTATATTTATGTTCCATTTATTTACTTAATTTTTCTAGCACAATACCTTCTATGTATGTATTTTTGTTTCATATTTTATTTAAATTCTAGTCAGTTAATATATAGTGTAATACTGGTTTCAGGAGTAGAGTTCAGTGACTTGTCACTTACGTATAACACCCAGGGCTCATCTAACAAGTGCCCGTCCCCCATCTAGCCCACCCCCACCCCGTCCGTCCATCAACCCTCAGTGTGGGTTCTCTATAGTTAAGAGTCTCCTTTGGTTTGCTTTCCTCTCTTTTCTTTTTCTTTCTTTTCCCCTCCCCTATGTTCATGTATTTTGTTTCTTAAATTCCATATATGAGTGAGATCATATAGTATTTGTCCTTTTTTGACTGACTTATTTCACTGAGTATAATACACACTAGTTCATGTCATTGTGATTGGCAAGATTTCATCTTTTTTCATGCCTGAGTAATGTGTGTGTGTGTGTGTGTGTGTGTGTGTGTGTGTGTGTGTGGAGGTGCGTGCGCATATGCATGTGAGTGTGTGACATCTTCCTTATCCATTCATCAGTGGATGGACATCTGGGTTCTTTCCATAGTTTGGCTATTGTGGACATTGCTGCTATAAACATCGGGGTGCATGTACCCTTCAAATCTGTATTTTTGTATCCTTTGTATAAATACCTAGTAGTACAATTGCTGGGTCATAGGGTAGCTCTATTTTTAACTTCTTGAGGAACCTCCATACTGTTTTCCAGAGTGGTTGCACCAACTGGCATTCCCACCAGCAGTGTTAGAGGGTTCCCCTTTCTCTGCATCCTCGTCGACATCTGTTGTTTCCTGTGCTGTTAATTTTAGCCATTCTGACAAGTGCATTGTGGTTTCGATCTCTATTTCCCTCATGATGTGTGATGTTGAGCACCTTTCTATGTGTCTGTTGGCCATGCGGATATCTTCTTTGGGAAAATGTCTGCTCATGTCTTCTGGCCATTTCTTACCTGGATTATTTGTTTTTGGGGTGTTGAGCTTGGTAAGTTCTTTACACATTTTGGGTACTAACCTTTGACCAGATATGTCATGTGCAAACATCTCCCATTCCGTAGGCTTTCAGTTGAGTGGATTGTTTCCTTCACTGTATCAGAGTATCTGGAAATTCTCATGTAACATTTGTGGGTCCCTGATACTCAGCCCCGACATCTGTCAGCCCAGGCTGAGAGGACACCCACCTAACACTGTTCTTCTGAAATATCTGCCTGCATGTGGGCTTGACCGTGTGTCCATCGGCAAATCTCTTCCTGAACTGCTTGCTGAATATGAGCCATAACGTTGTGCATTTTCAGGATCTGCAGACATCGTTGCCTCGACAAAAGGAGTAACCTTGGCCCCCGCTGGCTTGAAGTCTTTGGGCTTAGCTGCGTCATCTAACAAAAGTGGCCTAGAGGAGACAACGGGAAAAGGTGAGTGGGGGCAGGCAGAGGAGCATCTGCTCTCTCTTGGCCCTGAGACACTCTGGATGGGACAGTAACAAAGCCTTCAGGCCATGGCATCACACTGTGACCTCTTCGTGTTGGTGCGACTAGAACACTCCTTGCCAGGTGGCTCGTGAGACATAGAAGGCACCTGACGTGCCTGTGGCCACCCAACTGCCAAGTCGGGCACAGGGGCCTGCGTGCCTAGTGCTCCCACCCCTCGAACTGGCCCCCAGGGTGACAGCTTGGCACCGTCCACACTAAGTTTTTGGAAAGAAGGAAACCTCCAGGCTTTCCCTCCCTCCCTCTTCTCTCTCGTCCTCCCCAGAGAACCCACCAGAGGCCTCACACCTGCAAGAAGGACTTTGCCAAAGGTGCAGGCAGAGGAGGAGGGGAATCGGGTGGGGAGGAGGGTGCAGGAGGAAAGGGGAGAGGCAAAGAAAGAAAATCAGAGCTCTGACAGCAGAGTGTGCTAACCTGATGGAGCCAGGATGCCAGAGAGGACAGCCGGGATGCCTCCCAGGACGCTGGGCGCTGCTGGCACCTCAGTGGGTCACAATCACTCCATTCAGGAATCACACGTCGCTTAAGAGCCCCTTCAGTCCTGACTAGCCCCACACCCCTCAGGGGGGTTTAACCAAGAGTCTGGGCGGAGCCGTAGAAGCCTGGCGAGGAAGACTTCCCTCTGAAAGACAAATCATGCCAGACGGGGAGGTGTGGTGGGGGGACCAGCCTGTAGCCATCTTCCCAGAAGAATGACAATGGGAAACAAGGACACAGTGTTCCTCGGATGACCAGTAACCATCCAGATCACTGCCCGCTTGTGTGAGCACTATCCCCCTGTACGCCACTCTCCTGACAGCCCTGTTTCTCATCAGCCTGTGACAGGTTCACCTTCCTGCACCCAGGAGGTGGGGATGACACACGGGTGATGCCTCAGTTTGCAGAGATGCTCTTTTGTCTGACATCCCGATGCCCAGAAGAATTTGAATCTTATGGCTGTTACTGTGGGCAAGAAGGACAAGGCGAGCCGAGGGATGCCCTGGACAGGTAGGTACAGGCGAGGGTGGCAGGTGCTCATGCTGCCTCAGGAAGGGGTGATAGCCCTCCTCTCTGCGGGCCACGGCCTGGGGCTTCGCTGAAAGCAGTGGCTCACTCCGGGCGGCTGGCACTGTCACAGGCAGCAGAGGCCTGGACTCGTCTGCGGGCATTGGACTATGAAGGGGCAGAGCCAGAGCGACCCTGACCCATCAATATGGGGTCTAGAGCTCCTTTAGCTCTACCACAAGTACCACCCAGCTGCCCCAGAGAGTCCACCCACGAAGCCCTTCAGAAGACCCCAAATCTGCCTGTTTTGCAACAACCAACATGGCAAATTCGCACTCCCACTCAGTTTGCCCTGCAGGTGGCCACGTGGAACTTAGCCTCCTGATAACTTTTTTTAAAAAAGATTTATTTAACTATTTAAAGAGTTAAAGAGAGAGGGAGAAAGAGTCTGAAGCAGACTCGGTGTTGAGCGCAGAGCCGGACATGGGGCTCAATTCCACGAGCCGGAGATCAGGACCAGAGCTGAAACCAAGAGTCAGATCCTTAACCGACTGAGCCACCCAGGTCCCCCAGCTTCTCAATAGCTTTTAAGTATAACTGCTAAGTTTTATATCTGCCACTCTTGGAAGAATTTTCAGTGACCCTATGCATTGATGAATTCACTCATTCATTCATTCATTCATGTATCCATTCAGCCCATGTTTCATGAGCTTTTGCTCTGTGCCAGGCACTATGCTCAGTGGTGGAGACGCACAAATGGTTAGACCTGAACAAAGCAGATCGAAACAAACTGCCAGTGCCCAAGAGGAGCTGCACGGTGCCCAAGATGGGCTGTTCCACAAAAAGACCACCAACGCTATAAATGCAGCAGTCAAAACAGAGGGAGCAGGGGGGGAGCCAACCTAGACGGGAACTGCAGGACTATTCCGAGGGTGGAGTTAATAAGGCGTAAAGCCTGACCGCATGTGGGGACTGTCCTGGCCCCTGGCCGGTGGGCTCTGCACTCAAAAGGCGTAGGGCCCTTGGGATGGTGGGGTTGCTGAAGGACAATCAGCCGCTAGAGCGGATGCTGGAAACAAGGAAAAGACAGGCTCACTATAGTTAATACACGGGCTAGGTGATGGCAGGCACACGGGCATGTCACCTGCAGGTCAGATGGGGTCTGGCCGACTGTGTCCCTCCCCCAGCCACCTGCCTCCCTAGGCCTTTCTCCCTTCACCACTCACGGCCATCCGGCCCCACCGTGCAAGCTCACTGTTGGAGGGATTGTGGCAGAAGCAGCCCTTGAAGGAAGTCCTGGGGCAGCTGGGTTTTTCCTTGGTCTCAGGTGCTGTTTCTCCCACCACTGCTGCGTGGAGCAGGTGACAAGGCTAGGCTGCCTGTCCGAGAGGCTTCCTGGGTCACCGGTGGAGTGCGTGGACGGTACAGCCAAGTGTAAGTGCCGAGGGCCCGTGCACGGCGCGCTCCCCCTCGCCCAGGCCGCCTCACGGAGGCCTCATGCCTCCCGATGCTTGCCCGTCTGTAACGGGATTTAACACCCTCCCTAACTGTGAGGCCCGCTGAGGACACGCAAGTTCGAGAGGCTCCGTCAGCCTCTGAAAGTCAGGGCTGGGTAGGAACAGACAACGGAAAGGGCCTGAGCTGATGGGGTGCCCGCCTCGGGCCGGCCTGAGCACTCAAGGTGTGTGATCAGAGTTCATCCTCCCCCGGACCTGGGAGGAGGCCCCGAGTCCTCCCTTCACAAGGCAGGCGGCAGGGGCCAGGCTCAGCAGAGGCCGGGAACTCTGCGTGACCTCCCACCAGCACCGAGGCCTCGGGCCGGGGGCTCAGGGCATGTGGTTCTCTTCCGAAGAAGCAGAAGCCTTCTCCCAAGGGAGCCCCCTGCGGAGCCCCGCTCCTCCCTGTCCTGGGAGCCTCAGCAGGCGTCTGAGCCCTGGCCCCCCATGAGCCAGCCTCGCTCTCACACACCCCAGGGCCTGCTTTCCGAGTCTATATGCTCTGGGCTTTGCGGGTTCAAGGCCGTGCTCCCTGGAGTGTGTCACAGAGCCGTGTGAGGCCTCGTTCCCTACCTCGTTTTGCCTCCAGGGAGGCCCCCATCCTTCCCCCGCCCTCCCTCAGCAGTGGCGTGGGCCTCCCTGCCTCCTTGCGGGTGGGACTACGTGCACCTGCCGCGTCCCGGGACCCCGTGGCCACGTGGCGCGCACTCCCCCATCTATCCCACACAGCTTTCCCAGGGGCTGGGCAGGCAAAGAGCAGACACAGCCCCTCACAGCCCCGCGGGTGTGTGGTGCAGAAACAGACACAGACACAGACAGCAGGTGACTGCTCATCCCCGGCTGGCAGGTGCGCCCTGCAGGTGGGGGTGCCCTGGGGGCCGCCGAGGGTGTCTGAGCTTGCAGAGCAGGGTGCCGGGGTGGGGAGCTGAGCAGAGTCAGGAGAGGCGGCGAGGAGGGGTCTTACAAGAGGCTGTCGGGCTCCCAGATGGCCGCGCTGGGTGTGGACGGTCCAAGAGAAGGGAAAAGAGGAAAATCAAGGCAGTTGGGGGAGCTCCCGGCCGGCTGGGAACAGAACGTGGGGGTGGGGACAGCTGTGGTGCCAGGTGAGGTGGGAGCTAGACAGGCACCAGAGGGTCACCTGAGGTTCGTCCACCAGGAACACGAGGAGATGGGTGGGAGCTTAGAGCCTGGGTGCCAGGATCAGATTCTTGTCAGCGTCGGATGTCATGGTGCCTCAAGGTATCACTTGCTCAGCTGAGGAAGGCTCCTTCGCCCACGCTGCAGCCTTGCCGAGTGCAGGAGCACTGCCCTGGGAGTCTGAACTCCTGTGGGGCTCCCGCGACCCAGTGGAGCCCGCCGCCCCCATGAGCTCTGAGCAGTGTCCCATCCCAGATGTGGCGAATGAGAAAGGAGGGCAGAGCGTGCTCTGTGCTGTCCTGACACTAGGCCCAGAATCTCCCAGGGGGGAGTGGGCTCGTGTGTGTGTGTGTGTGTGTGTGTGTGTGTCCACTGTGCTCTGGGTCCTGCCTTTGTCCCCTCCTCCTCCTCCTCCTCCTTCTGCTTCCTCATGTTGGAACACAACACGTGTGTCTGGGGCTGGTGTGCAGGCCAGTGGAGGAAGTTGAGAGGGTCTGCGTGCTGAGAAAAGAAAAAAATCTGGTCGATGAACATTTCGTGGTAGGACCAGACGAGGGGGGAAAAGTCAGAACAAATACCATCCTTAGATTCATTGAAAACTGTAGGTAAGAATGATATTTGCAGAAGGCGGATCTGTGTCCAAGAACCTGGAAACACATCACTTCATCTGAGCCACACGGATGGTATCCATCCCACCCCCTCTGCATGCAACTGAGACATCCGAGAAGTCGGGAGGGTTGCCAGGTCTCGCAAATAAAAATACACTAACTTGAATGCCGGACGGACAACAAATAATTGCGTGGTATAAGTATACCCCAAAGGGACATACTCACTTGAACATATTTATCGGAAACTCCCGTCGCACTGGGCATCCCACATCTCATCCGGCAAAGTTCTGTAGATGGGGCAGGAGCCAGTTCCCTCTGACAGAGGGGGAGAAGGGAGGTGTAGCGGTTCCGTGCAGCAAATATGCTCCGGGTGCCAACTCCGGAAATGGGGGTCAGGGATGGACGTGGGCGCTCGGAACACACGGGCTGTGCCGCCAGGGTTCTCTGGCCAGCCGGAGGGGGAGGTCGACGCAGACCATTCAACCTGCTGGGACAGAAAGGCCATAGGTGGGATTCGGTGGGAGCCTGCGGGAAGATGCTCCCCTTACCCGGGGGCTCCGGGGGCTTTTGGGGGGAGCTGGGAAGCCAGGGGGAGTCCTGACACACAGGTACGAGTTCCCCAGGCGGAGAACGTGGGACAGTTCCTAGGGGGAGATCACGGCTGCTGGACGTCACGAGGCCCCATGCTGCAGGGAGGGGACAGGACAGTCAGGCTGGCCGCGTGCCCCCGTCACCGCTGCTTCTCTGCTCTTGCCTCCCAGGTGTGGGGCGGAGCCTGTGTGCGAAGCTGCTGTGTGCCTGTGACCAGACGGCGGCCGAGTGCATGGCCTCTGCCACCTTTAACCAGAGCCTCGGGTCAGCGGGCAAACGAGCATGCCAGGGCCACCGGCCGTCGTGCAGGGAGCACCTGCACGGAGCGCCCACCGCCGCCTCCCCCGGCTCCAGCTCCGAGGAGAACAGCGAGGAGGCCGTGCCCGACCCAGAGGGCCGGAGGAGGACCAGGAGATTCCTGGGCAAGTCGCTTGGTGCTGTGGGGACCAGGCGACCGCACGGCCCCAGATAGACCCCTGCGGAGAATGGCCCGCACACCCGCAGTAGGTTCCTCTGGTTCCTGTAAGCTCCTTGGGCCTCCGTCCCTGTGCCTGTCCTCCGTCCTCCCATCCTCCTGTCCTCCATCTCCATCTTCCCATCCTCCATCCCCATCCTCCATCCCCGTCCTCCGTCCTCCCGTCCTCAGCAAAGGCTCAGAGGGCAAAGAGCCGGCCAGCCCCTGCACCGCGACGTGTGTCAACTCACACGTGCACTAGGAGAGGGCAGACCAGGGGAGGCTCTAGGCCTCCTCCAGCGTGTCCCGGGAGCTCAATAAATCCTCCAATCAGTGTTGGTTTTGGTTTTGTTTGGAAGAAATGCTGTAGATACGGGAGCGTGAGTAGATGTCAAATGTAAGATGACAGCGCCACGGAGCAAAGTTAATGATCTCCACTCCATAATCACTGAAAGCTACTTTTTCTTCTATTAGGACAAAAAAAAAAAAGGAGTATTTTAATCAAACATAGGAGATCACCTACGAGTCACCAACAACCCGAGGACTTATGCCAAGAGGTGAAATGACAGCTCTTTTTGGTCCGTGCCCCTAAAAACACACTTGCCATTCTAGTTATTACAAGTGGCCATGTGCCATAGCCACCACCCCACGGAGAATTACTGCTCACCCTTGTCTTGGATCCTGGACTTTTTATTATTTAAGATTTTATTTATTCACGAGAGACACACACAGAGAGAGAGAGAGAGGCAGAGACACAGGCAGAGGGAGAAGCAGGCTCCCGGCGGGGAGCCCGATGCAGGACTTGATCCCGGGACTCCAGGATCATGCCCTGGATGGAAGGCAGGCGCTCAAATGCTGAGCCACCGAGGCGTCCCTAGTTTTTTTTTTTTTTTTTTTTAATAAGGTTTATTCCAGTGGCTGGAAGTTCTGGGGGTTTAAATGTCCTTGCTGACAGAGGCAGATTAAGATCAGGGTAATTGTAATAAACAAATGGTATCCATCCCTCCATCCACCCACGCACCTACTGTTAGAGATGCTCCGGTGTTAGCAGGTGGAAGGCCGCCTGTTACCAGTATCTCCCTCGATATCCGGGAGGAACACAAACTCCTTGGTTCGCATCACATCCTTGGTTCTTGAGCCCCATAAACCGCGTGTCTGGGAGTGAGATGGTGAGAGTCCCTGCTGGCTCTTCAGCCAGATGGGAGAGCGGAACTGCTGGAGGTTGGTGTCGTTGACCTCCTCATGGCAGGAAATATTCTCAAGTTGGCAACAAGGTTAAGAAACTAAAAGGTCGGGGGCGGGGGGAGGGAACCCTGGGTGGCTCAGCGGTTTGGCGCCTGCCTTTGGCCCAGGGTGTGATCCTGGAGACACGCGATCGAGTCCCACGTCGGGCTCCTGGCATGGAGCCTGCTTCTCCCTCTGCCTGTGTCTCTGCTTCTCTCTCTCTCTCTCTCTCTCATGAATAAATAAAATCTTTAAAAAAACAAAAACAAAAACTAAAAGGTGGGGATGCCAAGCCACTAGCTGCCATCCTTCCTTTCCTGCCTTCCAGGGGATTCGTGTGATGAGCCCTTTTTGATGGAATCCAGCACATCGGTACCTTTTTCACCAGGTACCATAACAGCCTAAGTTGGGGCTTTCCCAGAAGCGAGCCCCCCGCCAAGAACTTGAGAGCAAGTTTATTTTTTTTATTTTTTTATTTTATTTTTTTCTTGAGAGCAAGTTTAGTTGGCAAGTGAGGGAAACCCTGCGCGGAGACGGGAGACAGAGGACAGGAGACGCAGTCAGCGAAGGGTTACAACTGGAAGGGAGAGAGCCTGGGACTCTATCAGATCAGCCTCCGCCCCGCCCCCCCACCCTGATGTCCTCCCTCTGGGCCTGCACACGGGCGGGCGCAAAGCAGGCTCCAAGCCCAGGGGAAGCCGTGGGCAGACCCTCAGGAGTAGCAGCCGGCGGCCAGCCCGCGTGCGGCCAGCAGCAGAGGGCGACGGCCGGCTCCCGCTTCCCGCAGCCCGGAGCTGGGGCCCAGCTGCCTGCCCCACTGGCAGTCCCAGGGCCAGGCCGGCCACGGGTGCGGTGACCGTGCCTTCTCCACGCCTTGCCGTGCGGCCAGGTGGTGCTCGAGCAAGACAGCAGCCGAGCCGACCTGCTTCACTCAGGTTCCCAACCACAGAACGTCCTGCGGATGCCCACCCTCTTCTTAAAAAGTTGATTTTTCTGCTCTCCAACTGTTCCGCGCTCTACCTCCTCTCGGCAGACCTCCCGCGCCTCCCACTTGCACTCAGCTCACGATTCTGCAGGACTTCTAAGATCGTCAGCATTTCATGGAAGCCGCCAGAGCACAGGAGACCCCCCACCCCCACCCCAGGGTCAGAGACTAAGGACTTTATTGTCTAGTAATGGCAGTAGGCAGAGTGTCAGCATTTACGTGGGTCCCTCCAGCCCTGAGGCAAGCCAGGGAGTTAGTTCAGGAACCCGAAACTGCACACTGGCTGTTAGCCTGCTTGATCCCAGAACACTTTTTAAAAAAATTTTTAAATTTTTTAACACTTTTAATTTTTTTAACTTTTTTTTAAAAAAAAAAGAAAAAACAAGCTCCATGCTGGGATCCTAGGAACTCACGACCCTGAGATGAAGACCCAAGCTGACCAAGAGTCAGATGCTTAACCGACTCAGCCACCCAGGTGCCCCAAACACATTATATGGGACAGTAAGCAGGTCCGCCCTTGGATCCAAGGGGCGACACCATTCCTACCTTCCTAGAGTAGAATCCGTTTGCTAGAACATTCTTGAGAACACAGTCCAGAATAAAGGCTGTTAGTGTCTGCATGCTCACACCACATGCACAGACACACGGAGAATTGTCTAGCAACAGTGGTCTCAGCTAATATTCCAACTGAGAAAATTGAAGGTTTCCAGGGGCAATGCCTTCGTCTTCCTGCTGCCAAAGCTACAAAATTACCGTCTCTCTCTTCCCTCTTGTTACAAGGAAGTGTTCCTTATTCGGATCAAAGGTCAATCCCTCCAACTAGGCTCTGTGTATAATGCTCTACTGTATTCTCTAGGGTTTGACTCCTGTATATATTTCCTTTTTTTTTTTTTTTTTTTTTAGAGAGCACTCATGCATGGGGGTAGGGGGTGCTGCAGAATCTTAAGCAAGTTCTGCACTTGGTGCAGAGCCTGATGTGGGCTTGATTTCATGACCCTCATTTATGACCTGAGCCAAAATCAAGAGCTGGATGCGTAACTGACTGAACCACCCAGGCACCCCAGTATTTCCTTCTTAAACCAATTTATCCTCTTCTACTGTATCACTCTAATGAGCATGCAAACATGCCCTAAAATCTCCCATCTTTAAAAATCCCTCGACTCATTAAGCAAGATGACTGTAGTGTGAAATTGTAAATCTGATGCTCCTACCTTTAGTCTTGTCCTTAATTGCCCAACTAGATGGTGCTCTGCTGGGCATTGTTTACCTGACTCTACATCATCGGACTTTACTCCACACACTGCTGTGATAACCAGTTCCACACGGGCCTTGCCCTGCCTCGTTTATAGAGGTGGATCAGACAGGTCTGCCTTCCGAACTTCTGTTCCTCTTGTGTTCTGACACAGGACTTCTCTGGGAAGGAGGCATGGGGCACCCTGGGAAACCACTCAAGGCTCAAGCACACACAAACACTCAACCCAGAAATGTTGCTGCCCACAGGCTCCCCTTGAGGATGAAAGGATACACACTTCCCCAAGCTTTCATCGCCTGGGTGGCCAGTTCTGAGTTCACGAACCTCCTTATGAGATCGTCCAGTCACCTACAGCGATGGACAATTCATACACGAATCGTCTTAATGAGCCTTTTCTCCTTGCATTTCACAGTTCCAGGCCCTGGCTGGATTTTCTGGGATCGCAGCCCAGAATAATCCTCGAATGTAAGCCTTTGTCCTAGCCCAAGTTCTCCAAAGGCAGAGCCTGTGACCCAAAGCACAAGTGAAAGTCAAATTTTATAGAAGTAGGAGGCAGCACGTGATGCTCTACTTTGGCTCTACCTTTTCATTCATATGAACTTGGTGCCTGAAATCTGTATTTATCAGAACAGCTGACAGGATCTGACCAGTTAAGGCTGGAAAGAAAGCATGTGACAAAGCACATAATACAGACTGCTCCGTCTATACCACAGCTTCCTGGAAGTAGAATAAGCAAACCAGGGTGGCAGAGGGAACTAGAGCCGTTGTTTTGGTTTTTGAGAGAGGCTCTGTATGATGTATTCAATAGGGGGTGGTTGAGATGGATGCAGAGGTGGCACCTGTGCTTTCCCTGCTCAAACTATGAGCTCCACCTTCACTGCATCTCGTCATGATGGCAGTTACCGTTCTGATTCTTCCACTATGTGAAGACGCATCCACATGGCAGCTTGGTTTTTTATAAAAGCTCTTCATTTTTAACTAAAGCAAAATATTAAACTTAATTTAGTAAGTGTAATAGTTCTTATAAATATCTACTTCTACAGAAGTGATCTGATTTTGTTTTCTTGCTTACACATGAATTGCAAAGTGAATTTTTACATTTCAAAAAAAAAACCTCACTTCGATACATTACATATATTGGCATAAGTAAGACAAATGAGTTCCATTTTCAGATAGGATGAAGAGAGATGTTAAGTGCTGGTAAAGTGTGGTATTATTCTAAAAGATAATGAGTTCAGGAGCATGAACGGTGTATGTGTGCACATGTGTGCATGTGTGTATTCAGACGAACTCCAATGATAAACTCTACATAAGCAGTCAAAGGCAACACAAATATAAGGAATGTTTATGTTAGCTAATAATGTCAAGGGAAAAAATGAAGCAAGTGTATACGCAAAAAGAGAATGATAACAGTTTTATTATTAAGTTTTAAATATCTACAAAAATATAGCCATACGATGAACTTCAACAAACCCTAAACTTTCAGTCTCCAAATTGGCTCTAATATAGTACACCCATTACCTGGCAGGATTTCCTGCGATCTCCTGGAAAGAACAA